GCGTAGTGGGAATCAGACGGTATTTCGTTATTTGTCCCATAACAATGCATCATGCATAATCACATCAGACAGTTGCACGCGGAACTTTTGTCAGCGCGTCTGTTTCGCGATGAATAATTCGCATAAATTCAAATAAACAAAAAAAATCTCGTACCGTACATACATACACGTAGTTGCCCGATAGTTGGAACGACAAGACGTGAGGCGCATTTATGAGAAATTTATGCCATAAATTTCACGCGCGAGCGGCGCACTCGAATTCGCGACACTCGAGACGAAAGTTCGAGCCGGAACATTCTCAAGTGCACATCGTTAATAGGTCATTACGCAAGCGTAATGGAAATCGATAATTAATTGATCCGGCAAGAGTGCGCGGGACTCTTTCGCCAAGGATGCTAATTGACTCTTGAATATTTATGATTAACGAATTAGCAGCGTTGCAGTTCGTATAATCTCGCATTCGAAGAGGGAAACGTATTCCCAAAATCATTTCTTAATCCGAGTATTTAACGCCCCGGCTCGCTTCATTGAAATTCGGCATCTCATTTTCAAGTTCTTCCTACACCACTCGCTGCCATTTCATCCGTGCTTCAATCGATGCCGGTGATTACACTCTGATTAATTATCTCGTTTTACATTTAGTTTTCGAAGAGTCACGTATAGTCCTACTTTTGAATAGAAAGTTTCTATTCCAGACTAATATATTCGTTATAAGTAAAAGTGTTCACCTATTTGACCAATTTTCTCTCTCTTTATCCTCATTATAAACTATCTCGTGCCATGCATAACGTTTAACCGATATTATCGAAAGTTCTGTCGATGAAAGTTAATAGGTCCACGCGCGCACTAAAATCTTCCTCTCTCTCCCTCTCGACATTATAAAAATTGAAACCGTGGAATGGCAATATTTCGATTATCATACGCTGGCACATATGCCGCCCCGGGTCGATGCATGCTGTACCCCGGCGATAGACCGACCGCGAGAGCGGTTGTACCATTATTAATAACCGATAAACCAATTACAATGTTATCGGATCGCCGTTATCTGCAGGCAGGCCGCTGCTAAAAGGCCTATACGCCGGTTCTGCCTAGTCGTAATCTGATGTGGAGGAGCCCCGGAGGTACTATCGCGTGCCTTTTTGCTACTTTTAAGTGGTATTGCTAGTATCGTTCTTGCTGATACTAATGAGCCCGTTGTCCGACCAGAGATGCGCCTTACGCCTGAATTCCACGGATAGAATCGCGCGTTCGCTTTTTTACGTCCTTTCGTATTTCTTCGTTTCTCGCATGACAATTATACTAGAAATCAAAAATTAATTTTTAAAAAACTATTATCTATTTTCTTCTTCGAAACAAATCTTTGTAACAAACTTATTCTCTGTCAATTACAGAAATAGAAAAAATATTTAGAAATTATAAAGACGAAAAATATAGGAGCGCAGATTTTTTTTATTATGATAAATATTGTTAGGAAACTGATCCAATGGATATATTCGGATAACATTTAACTGGCGAGAAGAACTCTCCGCGCTGCAACGTGAAACAGCATGCAGTCTCGGTCGCGTAATTGGACGTTCGGATCCGCGCGCGGTCGAAGAGAAGCACGGCTGGTCTAAGCCAAAGTTTTAAGAATGTGATCGTGGGGGGCCCTCGTTAGAGAGGGTTTCGAGTGCAAGGCTTGGATCGCGGCCCATATTTGCATATTTATGCGGCTCCAAATCTCGTTTGACGTACCGACAATCTAACGGCAGAAGTTCATCGTAAGTTGCAACGGCACGATAATTAATTTCACACAAAACCCATGCTAATGATCATTATTTTTAATAATAATAATTTTATTAAGTGAGGCGTATAACGTTGAGGGTAATTTATATAACATAGAGATAATTGCACGTCAAAAGGCGAGGTACCACATCAAATATATTATTTATATTAATACATATCATTATACAATCATTTGTAGACGGCGTTAAATTTTTCAATCAATATTTGTGTATGGGTGTGATACGGAAATTTTGATTTTTCTGTATTTAATATAATTTATCTCCCGAAGGATAACGTGTATTAAACTCGTGGTTTGTTTTCATCAAAGTTGAAGTCGCCTCGGAAAGAATATTTCATATTAATATTCTTTGAGTATTTCGCAACAGACTTTGGTGCGAATAACCGTTTGTAGCGCGAACAGAACCACAAGCAGTAAGCCGAATTTTCTTTTGTTATTATAATATAATATATTCTAATTTATTCAATATAACAAAATTTTTTATACATTCTTACATTGTTTACAAAAAATTACGCGTACATAGTTTATCTTTTTTATTTCTTTACACAAAGGGAATAAAAGAAATACATTTTGCGAATGAATAATTGACTTACTGCTTCCTGATTTTACGCGTACAAGATGCTTAAGATTATTCTCGTCTTTGTGTTTGTCACCGATTTGCATACTTTTGCAAATTGGATATACTCGAAACTAAACTTTATTGACATTCTCAGAAGTTCATGAGAGAATTTCATAACTAGAAATTGCGCGCGAACTGTACACACTGCAATATGAAACTTTATACCGACAAAGCCACTTCCGCAATGTGCTGGAAGTGTGGAAGGAGAATTATTTTCGCAAATGGAGAAGCACTTCCGAAGTTTCCAACTCGAATGGCTCGATTATCGAGTGCCGGTAATTATATATTAGAACGACGCTGTTGACGTTCGCGCGATTAGTTCGGTCCGCAATTAAATTATTTCCGGATGATGAACATTTAAAAGGCGGGAAACTGGAAAAAAAATATATACCGTTAAGTTCCAATTGACGATTACGATTATGAGAGAAAAAAACGAGCCCATGTTTCGCAGGTGTATTTAACGCGCTGAAAACTGCGTTCCAATTAAACGATTCCCGTATCTAGCTACACGCTCATGCTTCATAAAAACTATTTTACCTAAGAGCTTTTTCTCGCAGCTGAGACCGGTTATAATAATTGCGGTCCTAAATCGCGATATAACCTTCTTACGTTTGGCACGATTTACGGTCCATTTTTGCAGAAAAGTAATCCACGCAAATTGTCCTTTTACGATATAATATTCAACGCTGAGACGTAATTATTTTAAAGATATAGCAATCATTAGAATGCCACATACACTCTCTTTTCCTTATTTTTCTGTTATACTTTTATATATGTCCAATTTTTTCATTAATTCGATTAATCTGATTAGTCCGTTATTTTATGGATACGATAATTCGAAAGCTTTTAAATGAAAGATTCAGAATTTAAAGCACCCAATATTGCTCATTGCAATAAATAGCAAACGATTTTCATAAACGACTGGAAAGCGTGTTATGCTCGGTCTGCTCCGATACGCCGTTGTACGTCGGCTTTAAACACGGCATCGGTACAAAACGCTTGTAATTACCGCCGCGTAAAATCGGTACCGATAAACTCGATAAATCACTAGTCGCGAGAATATTAGACCGGCTGGCCGATAACAGAGACGCCTTGTATATTGCTAGCTCGCCCATTCCGGATAGCAGCGAGTCACTCGCAGCTTCGCGGGCAGCGTTCCAAACCTGAATGACGCCTACTCGAAGAAATTACGCAACTACGCGTGCCAATACACTGCAAAAACACGCTTGCATTCATGTTCATTCACCTCTGATTTTCATTACTTTTGCTGCGAAGGCATTGCACTTGTTTCCGATTTGTTTCTATTTTTTATTTTATTTTTTCGGTACTTTTAATCATTTCATTCCGACTTTGTTCTGTTATATTTTCAATGTATAAATGATAAAATTATGATTTGCTTTTATTATAGTTTGCGATGATCTTTATGTCACATGACAAAAGTTATGTAGAGACAAGAAAATCTTACGTGGGAATTTTGTACAATTTTGCAAGTTGCAAATATATCGCAAAATTATGATCTGCAAACATTTCACGTACATATTTTCTGACGCGTGATCGAGTTTAGCATATTTTATACAGAATGCATATTGCAATAAATGGCGAATGATACAACAGCATAATGCAAATAAAGAATTCACTTTCTATCGATTATAGGCTTTTCAACTACTGCCGCATTGAAAGTTGTTTATTTACTGCGAATGCATTGTTGTAAAAGCACTTTATGCTTATGTTATTGACTCTCTCTCTCTCTGCAGTTTGAGATAAAAGGATTTTATTGACTTTAAGCTCTGAAAATACAAAAATCTTGTACGCGCGCTTATATGTATAAATAATATATTATTTTATTTTTGAAGAATTGTTTGTAGATAGTAATACATTTTTTACCTTCCTTCTGTCTCTCTATTTTTCTGTGATTTGACGCGAATAATTTGTCAAACTCTTTTCATTATTTAATGATGTAAAAATCTTTCATGTTGAAAATAGATTCTAATTTGATAGCGTATCGAAGTAAAATTAGAAAGAAAGATTGTTACTGAATGATCGTTCTTCTTCGATACTTTGATCTTGACATTGAAACTCGCGTATAAAACACGAATTCTTTCTTTTTTCTTCTTCTTATTCTTTCTGTTCTTCCTGTGAAACGACTATCTGAATCCAATTTACGATGAAACCTCGCAGTCATTCAAGAAATTCACTTTCATCAGATAAAACCCAGAATGCGTGTTTGACTCACGTAATATCACGTAACATATAACTGTTTACCAGCTGACATAATCACTTTGCAGTGAAACTTGTCCCATCGTAATAAGGCCCATTCACGCTTCATTGAATTCTAAGTTAAAATCTGTTAAATATAATAAATAGCTAATATAAATATAATTTGCATATAGAACATAAAAGGATTTTGCTTACTTTGCACTATCATACGTATTAATTTTATTATCGTTTCACATATTCAACATGCATAAAAATAAACTGTATTATGTGTTATATTTTAATAGAAACAAAAATATAATTACATGTGTTATAATATATATTTTTCTTTAATTTGACATATATTTTAGGATATATTGCTAACGTGATATTTTTTCCTTTCAGGTCGCTGGGGCTCCTAATATTTCTTATAGCAGCACATGTTCACGATACTTTCGCAAAACACGTAAGTCCCTTTCTAACCGAGTTGTATTTATAACAAAACCGTAAAAACAATGCTCAAAGCATCGCGGGAGATATCTTGAAGCTCGGAATAAAGCCACAAGAGACAAGGGTCTCAACATATCTTGACGGCATTCCCTCAGGTTTTATTGCCCACTCTTTGATGATGGTTCGGGTTTCAAGGCCTCCCAGTCTCCAAGCAGATTATCTTGGTACACTTTGTTCCTAGGAAATCTCCGAGACAATAGAGAACATGAAGATTCCGTAAACCATTACGACGTAACCAATAATTACGGATGGCCTTCGGTTGCTAATCGCAACCCGTATTTCTTTTTAAACTCCTTTGGGCTGCTAAAATATTTTACACTATTAATATCTAACTACAAAGAATATTGAAATGTTATTTTATGATGTAAAGGCATTAATGTTCGGTATATTTGAATACATGACGTTTTCCTTCCTGCATGCACGAGTTCCTGTTTGCAAAATGACATTGATTTTGGCCCTGCTTCAAGATGTCTGTCAAGATGTCATGTTATTACCAGATATACCATTAATTCCCGTTGAGCGCTTTACTCGAAATTTTTCACGTAACAATTTCTGACTAGAAAAATTAAACTTATCTGTCTTTGCCTTTTTCGAGGAGCAATTTAATATTTTTATTATTTCAAGTTCTATTTTGAAAAACGTTGAATTCGATTTTTCACGTTAATCAATGATATTCCGAGAGCTATTTTTGCCGTTCGATAAATTTGATGATTTCGCGAAGTATATGTTATCTCCCCGATATCATCTTGATTGCGGTAGTCATTTCAACCGCAAAACTCGATTCGCGAGGAATCCGAGGAAGATCGAAGTACCCGGTGATGCTGAAAGCGTAATGGCGAGATCAGATTAGGTCCGAAATGGAAGCTACAGCATCGCGAGAACGTTTTCGGGATAAGAGGAAGGGAATTTCGTTAGAGGACATTCTCCGTGATCTCGTCGACGGGGCAAGAAAATAGAGGCGTATACCGGATGTCCCCTCTATATACGGAGACGAAGGAGAGACCGCGGTAATCTCGTTGCACGCGCACGGTTGTTGTGCTTCTGTCGTGGCCGTTGTGTTTTACCTGCACCCACGACCCACGGCGTCCGACTTATACGGGAAGTAACTTATGCGAGAGAAGTAACTCGAGGATCTCTTGTTATACACCAGTGTGTTCATCGGCGGTGAACCTTGAGCTTTTTATACCAGTTTTACCTCGCGCCAGAAGTAAACACCTTGTCTCTCGTCCAAGGCGAATTCTTTTTCTCGACGACGTTTTTATAATCTCGAATTAATATAAGTAATGTAATTAAATTAAAAAAAATTTATTTTAATTTTTAAAAATGTAATTGCAATTTATTAACTATTTATATTTGAAAGAACATCGAGATCTTGACGACGCGGCATTTTTAAGCACGTTGCGAATTAGCAGCATCTCCTTTCATATTAAAGCGACGTCGCGAGATATAAAAGTGGGTTAAATGAACGAGACGTCGAGTAAATGGGTTGCATTGTCGAGAGGCTGCAATTGCGAAAACTGCTCTTCGCCGTATCTGCCGCAGGTTCTTCGACATTCCGCTCTGACAGAGCCAAATTACATTTATAAATTTGCCGCGTATACTATATATATATATACGAGCTTGAGTGGCGCTGCCGAGATATTCGCGAGGATCGGCAATGAGATTATTAGTTGCGGCACGAAGGGAAAAGGGAAAAACACTACTGACTCATGGTGGCTTTTTACCATCATCAGCGCACTCCCGACCAGACTGCGTGGCTAATCTAAGTTAAGTGGTCGTTACAGACGCGGAGGAATCTTGAAAACGTATCCGCCAATCTCGGTGGACGGACGTTACAATGGTATGTCGTGAAACGCGCTCAAGTGAACCTTGTCTTGATTCGATGGCAATTAATTCCATCGTGTGTAATTTGTTGATAATGAATTTCTTTTTGCATTAATTTCTTTCTGATACAGCATTCATATACAGCTCCTTCTTTTATTAAAATTGATCGAATAATTATAATTTCACGAACGTTTAAAGAGAGATATCATTGATGTAAATTGAGAAAATAATATTTTATCAAAAAGAATTTTTATATTCAATTCCTATAAGTTTCACATGTTGAATTGGCTCTGTTAAATAATTATAAAATACTTTTTATAAAATTTGAAATAACACTTATCGAAAAACAAACTTCGGTTTCACATTTATGTAAACGAAAAATAAAAAATAAAATATCCTGATGATAAAATGACGTAAAACATACAAAGCAGAAGGATACAAGAGTCGTCGTGGTTAGCAAGAACGCGATTATGCAATATGTACCTTTGAAGATGAGGACAGCTTTGCTTATGGCATTTACACGATGTTTTAAGAAAACGTACGACGAAAATGATAACTTCGTTACAACGCGCATTTATCGCGATCAGTTCTCATTATATTTTCCATCGTAAATGAATGTAAAATAGTTATTGCTTTGATGTCTCTATATAAAAGCATAGTTTTCAACAATATAATTACTCACTAAATGCGATAAATTGCAAACATGCCTTTATGTTCTTTTTTCGTTTTTCTGAAAGCATTACGTGCATTCTCGCGTTTAGTACAAATATTTTAGCTTTTTGTTCAAGTTTTAATCTTTCTACTACAACTTATACGATGTTTTCAAAGCAGATTTATCAGATTTTGTTCAATTGATAGTTTGATTGTCGTATCCAATTATATCTCTAATTAGTAAAATGTTTGATTTAAAAAAGTTATATTATTTAAATACGTTCGCCTTTTCAGACGTGTGGAGAAAAATATTAAATAATCCTAACTAAATAAAACTCTTATCGACATTAGTTTACGTCAAGAGGAAAGCAAAAAAATTAATAAGTATATACTTCCACATAATACCGCAACACAATCTTATTACTGAACCACGATCCTGAACAGATGCGTTTTTCTATACTTACAATTAAACACATGCTCGCTAAAAATATAATATAATATATAATGAAACTTGGAGAACGCATCATCCATCGAGCTACATGATTCATCGATCATCATCGATTTGCGCCGCGATTGTTTGCGTTAGAAGTAACAAAAGCTGCAAATCATGCAAACGCGTATATGCATCAATATCTCGCGATATTATCATATGTCAGACGTATGCAAATAGTTGCGTAAGATTGCGTAAGGTTGCAGTAAGCAAAGAAATATCCGCGATATCATCGCATCGTAACTGATCCTTGTACGCAATCGATGCGTCATGTTCTGTCGCGGAATTCGCAACAATTGGCCGGAGAAATGACATGATATGACGGCATATATGTACAGATCTTTCGTTCTGGTTACGCCAGCGAATCGACTATCAGCGATCTTGCAGACGAAATTGCCATTACGTGAACCCATCGCCGTTTTGCGTCTGACGCGAGGTCAGACGGCGACGATATATATGACAATTATTAAGAAGGAGGCGTGTTGTGCCCGAGTGTTCACGGTTCATCGGCTGACCCTTTGCGTTCGAAAAGAGGAGGAGGGAGAATGAGCGAAAGCGAGAGAAAGAGAGAGACCCATTTCCCCGAACCATTTAATTAACTCTTCGCCACGCAATCTCACGGAACATTCTACGACCGTCAAATTCCACGTTTCATGTACGACCGGCGGCTTGCATCGGCGGTAACTTTCTGAGATCGTGGTCGACATGGAGCGCACTGGCCAAGACAACATCCAATTATTGTGAGGATTTATATCGCGCGTTAGTCTAAAATTGAACCACGCAGTTAACGCGTATCTAGAAATTAGTAGCGAGTGTGTGTGTGTGTGTATAGAGACAAAATTAAATACCAAATTCAATTAATTCGAGATAATTTAATTTTCTCTTGCTACCTGTTTTATTTCTTTCAGCGTTAACATGTTGCAATTAGTGCAGCTAACTATATATTTATGTATCTTACGGATTTTACGATTTTTGAAACACGATGCTATTCTTATTAGAGAAGAAAAGATAAATTTATAAAATAGTTGATACATTACATATATAATAGTCAATATATATTTCACATCGAGGATTGCACAAGCAAAACCGCATCGAATCAAATGAATCCAAAATAATTATCTTTATTAATCAATATATTATCGAAAAATACATAAGCAGAACTGTATCAAATTATACTTTTTGTTTCTTATTTCTGATAACGGAGAGCGTCGAAATTCACGGTGATTAATGATCGCCTTCTTGCTAGAGAAAGCTATCATCCTATTGCAGAGGCAACTGTGATAAAAAGCGTTCGTGGTTATCTACTGTTACCGCGGATATTAGACATTAGAACTTGAGCACACCAAATGAAATTGCATTTAGTGTACGTATATAGAATATCTACGAGAACTGCACGCGAATTTAATCCATAATCGAAGCTTCCGTCGCAAAGACCATCGTATATATGTATATAGTTGCTGATTGCGCTCTTGTTTTTATCTACCATAGAGTGGAAATTGATACTCCACTTTAAGATATAATTTTACTGTTTTTTATACAAATTGTAAAATTTGAAATTACATGACTTTCTTATACTTTAATGTTAAAATTAAAGTTTGTTTTATTTTAATTTAGTTTTTCTCTCTTGATTAATCTTAATTAATATAATAAAAGAAAAAAAGACTAGTTTTTAGATGATACAAAATATCGAATATGACATCACATAATCTCGTTTATGCTGCAAAGGAACACTTGCACAAAAACCGGAGGTTTGCCATAATGTCACCGAAATTTTGTTAATCTCACAATCAGCTCAAGAAACCAGCTTGCCAGGGTCACCCGATCGGATGCAGGAACCCTCTTCGCGGATCATTGTCCTCGACGATATTGGATTACGTTTCATTGTTAACAGGTTACGTTTCATATCTCGCCGTGGCAGTCAGAGGCAGCAATGGTGAATGAACCACTGCCATGGCTAATCAAATAGCGAGATCGATAATAAATGGATTGCACTATTGTTCTGCCAATGCCACATTTTGCGAAAATTGCAATATACGTTGGTTTGATTTTAACGAATTGACGATATAATCATAGAAGTTTAGACAAATCTAGTTTTTCTATCATTAATCTTAACGATAATCAGAAAATTTACACTAATATAATTTTCTTAAAGAGAAATTACTCGAATGGATTCTACATTTTTGAAAGTAAAATACATAAAATTTTAATACAATAAAAGAATAGAATACATATTTTAGCGCGATTATATTTTATGCATAATTATTAAGTGAAGAGTTTCGTGTTAATTTGAATAATTAATAAGTCTTAAATTGAATAATATTGTACTCTATTTCATATTTTTTAAATAATAAGCGCGACTGTTTAAAATGTAAATCCCGTAAAATCCTAATTACAGAGTAGATCTTATAATAGCAAGGTAATACCACGGTACAATTAACCGTACAGAAAAACCCCAAGAGCAAAAAAAAACAATTCGAATGTCCTCGCCGTAATGAGACACGCGATTATGCGCAATGCAATTATCGGACGTAATTAACAATCAACGGCAAGTTCTTCGATCGCGTGATCACTTTTGATAATTAATAGAAACGCATCCCGATAGTTGACGTAATTATAGGACACGTCATACTCCATCGTCGGGCTAAAAATAATCATCGCTCTCACAAGAGATGATGTAAATGCTCGAGCTGTTCCGGCAGCTGCTCCGCTTTAGCTCTCGAATCAGTATACGTCATTAGTCAGCACTTAAATATAGCACTTAAGTTTACGTTTTAATCGCGCGCTTTCGAGATAATCGCTTATTAGGGTGAGAATCATAATAAACTTACGTTTTCCGACAATTCTGTTTAAACGATAATTCTTAAGACGATCTATCGTCTTCGAACGTGTTAAGACGCCTAAGTGACTATGCTAAATTGATCACGTCCGCGTTTGTTATTATTGTACAATCCTCTCGATTTATTTCTGCGATTTATTTGAGGCTAATAAATAATGCGAATATTAATATATAAATATTTTCGGTAATATTGTATACATATTCCAAACATTTCTGCAGTATAATTATGGTGACAGTTTTCGAAAAAATTGATCAAAAATGAAAGCAATTAAATTGATTGTATGTAGTATTGTGTAAATATCAAGCTCATAATTTCTGTAAGATTAAGATTAAAAAAAAACAAACTTAAAAGATTTGACATTTCAATGATTGATTACTCCATGTATCGTATGATATATTTTGCGGATTTAAATTTGATTTATGTATGTACTTAAATTTCTCCTTATGCACACGCGTCTTACAAATTCATCTTGCAGTGTCGCGCATCCGTTTTATAGTCATACATATACCGCTAACACGCCGCTTTATTAACGTTATATATTCCCATGTTGCGGTACATACATCTTGGTGGTCTGACAATACTATAATATGCCAAGCTACAGATGTTTGGTGAAATTCAGGAAGAGAATGTCCCTATATAGCGATACAAATTTTTGTTTAAATATCATAAAATCTGAAGTAGCATAAAAATTATTTAAAACATTTTTCGAAAATCTAAATTTACGCCCATCATAAATTATTTCAATTTTATAACATTAAATTATAATGATTTATTTACGTTGCAATACCTATATAAGAAAACGATTTTAGGATAATATTCTGTATTATTTGATTCTTCGTTAAAATTATCAGACAAGACAACTTTTTAATCGAATGGAGCTGCGCACCAACTCGTGCGCTTTCTTGCGCTTATATATACTCACATTTTCTCGTACGTGCAAACTCGGCGGCCACGATAAGTTGCAGATGCTCGTTGGAGAAGCCGCAAAGAAGAAAGTCACCTCCCTGTGCGCTCGAACATACTTTTACTACGCGGAAATGACGCGCCCATCTGTGCGCGACAATCTCCCACGCTTAGTAAAAATATCCACTGCAGCTGTCATAACCGGGACTATAAATGACTGTATGAAGGATGCATCTAAATTGCATAATCCTTCTGTGAGTAGGGTGATGCAAGTGACACACAAGTTTCATGAAGATTATTTGAAATTTAAAATATATTATGCGCATACATTTTTGATATACGTATATATAAATTAAAGATCTGTTTTTTTATACTATATATAATCAAAAAACATGGTAAAGTTAAGAATAAATCAAACGATCAAAGTAAGAAAGTTTTGCAATAGTAAAAATGTTGAGAATTGCAATGTAAATTCTTAATGCTACATCATTTCTGCGATAAAAAGGAATAAAAATTGTTATCAATTATTCTTACGTCATAATGTTAAATTAAAAAGCTAATGAAATAATTAAAAAGTTAAAATAAAGAAAAAAATTATTTATGCTATAAATAATGTATCTCTTTAGAAAATACATAGCGCATGTAAATATGTATATATGTATAGATTTAATCGAGGAAAATATTTCACCAATGTCTGAGTTGAAGAAGAGAACAGATTAAATCTGCGTAATTTTCTTTGAGATCCGATGTTCGAGTGGTAATAAGCTTCTCTCTCTTTCTCATGAAGTACACTTATTTATGTATATACTTAACGCTAATTTTGCTTTGATGTGCAGTGATGTTTGCAGTAATCAGCATTACAATTTAGATGTCAACTTTAGAATTTAAAAATTGTATTTAATAAAATTCAATATAAATACTAGGCAGTAGTGGAAATTAGCAAAAAAAATGGCGCTAATAAATCTTTATTGCCACGACTAAATTTGTATGCATAATTTTTTTGGCAGGTATTTAAAAAGCACGAAGGTTCACTGTAATTGCCACAAATAGCTGCGGTCGCTATGATTCACTGCGTCATGTAACTACTTAGCCGGATAAATTGTACACAGAGTATAATTGCCAGGAATGCGCAATAAATCTGTCTTTCATTAAATGGCGCGTAATTATATTTTACCCGGCTCTTTGTTCGTTCTTTTGTCATTAATTATTCAAATACAAAGTACTCTTTAACCCGCGGGATAAAGTATAAAACGATTTCGACTCTTTACTGCCTGTATTTCGAAATGAAATGGCTTTATGGCAAATAATTCACGCAAATAATCGCAAACTCCAGGGTAAAGACAGCGTAAACGCTTGTTGTATATCAGTTTAAAAATCATCGCTCTCTTTAATTATAGAAATAACTGTTATTATACCTCCTGTACACAAATACATCGTTTCTTCCCCTCCAAAAGAAAATTTCTAAATTAATGAATAAGAGGCCATAAATGTAATCATTTTTCTTTGCAAATTTATTTAAAAAGAAATGCGTGCTCTCTATAATAATTATTTAAAAGGTATCTTGATTTATGTATAATAATCTGAAATTTTAAAATTCCTTGAGAAAACAATTCTACGTGTATACCCATAAATTTTACGAATCGGCCATCAGAGACCAATAACCGAATACAAGACACGCTTGCGGCGATTGTGTTCGAGAGAGCGCGTTCGATCGAGAAACGATCATTTAGCGAAAGAGTCGTTAAACGAGAAATCGTAACTCTGACAAGGGGTGCTCGAATGCGTTGCGGGGTAGCTGATAATTTTATTGGAAATCGCGCATGTGCGCTTTACAACCGGCGAATGCAAACTGCTTTGGACACTCGCCAAAAGGATCTGGCCATTGAAATGTTATATGGCCACTTACTTCTTCTGGAGCAAAAGTCCCCCGTACGTTTGTGACCGTAAACTTCGTCCAAAAAAATTGATTTTAAAGCGCGACGGTTTATATTCCAAGCACATCTTTATTTGTCGTGATTTATAACTAATTTTGATTATAACATATTATAATATTAACACACATGAGTAATGGTGAATACAGTTTATTATCGCGTCTTGTATATTCCTGGCTGCGCTTATTAAGAGAATTTTTGTGGCCTTCCTGTCAAGAGAGACAATTTGATGCTAATATACCATGACAACGATGACATCGTAAAAATCGTCCATGGTTTCCTCGACTTGTCGCGCGTGTAAACAAAATTCCATACAGGTTGCACACATTACTCAACAAAATTATTGATATCTTTTTTTTTAATAACGACTAGTCTAAAGAAAAAAATTGATGAATAAGATTCTACAAATATTAATTTCAAAAATGTGTTTCGTTTTTCATAATCAAGAACTCAAATATTATTATAATAATAATAAAGATTAATTAAAAAGAAAAAATGATGAACAATCATACGAGAGAAAAATGAAGCGGCTATCTGTGGATAAAAATATCGGATTAAGGAAGATGCTTTTTTCAAATAAATAAATCGTCTTTTTTACGCGATACACGTACGTGAGTCGTTCTCAGCTTGAGGGATTAAGATTAAAGTAAACCCCATGCGGCGCGCTATTGTTACCCACGCTTGAAGCTCACCTGTACGTCTCCGCAGGTGAACGAGGGGGCACTTAGCGCGAAATGTTTCTCCTCGCATGTCCACGTTCTCACGGCAGGTCGGGATCTTTTTCGCGACCCCAGCCACGACCCCGAGATACCTCCGGGCTCTCTTCGGAGCGGCGCGGATGCAACGAGAGTGTAATAAATTTATCTCTCCCCCCGTCTTTCTTTGTGTTGCAGCATCATATAAAATTAAGACACGGGAGGCATCGTCGGCAACACGGCGGCAGTTATCTGCCCGGCAACTTTGTGCCGGACACGGACGAGCCCGAGAGAGGTAACTGGGGACCATGGTCGACGCCAAGCTCCTGTTCGCGCTCCTGCGGCGGCGGAGTCGCCCATCAGACGAGACAGTGTCTTGACATAGAGTGAGTTACCATACTTCATTGTGCTCTTACCGCCTTATCCTAGCTAACGTTTAAAACACCCCGTCGCGATATTTTGAGAGGAATATCGAACGAGACACTGGGATGGACTTCTCGGCACGTCAATGTGATAGGAAAAACGTCTCAATATCTCTCTCGTGGAATTCACCGGAGAAAATGGAAACGACAACGTTGAATCTCTCATGAGAGAGGTTGCTAATTTTTTGAAAGATTCCTTTCATATTTTTCGACGCGAGAGGAATTTTCCGCGTATTATTTCATTACGCCGCTGAGAAATTACGAATAAATGTAAATATTCTTTTATAATTCTCAGACTACACGTATATTTGCGTAGATGTATAGAAAGAATCGTATACCACCACACTAAGTAATTACGCGAATTCATAAATGATGTGCGGAAATATACCCTCCGCTTTTAAAGTTTCTTCTTCGTTGAATTCGCCTTAGAAAGAAGTCATTCTATCTCGTTGAGTTTCTTGCTATCCTTGGAACTCCTCGCTACAATGGTATGCTCAATTGAATTGAGATTGGATTAAAAGCGGACACAAGCTTGCAAAGAATTTAATCAAGTCTCAATCTACACCGGATACCCCAGATGTACCTAGCGTGTTTCAGAAAACCACTTATCGAGGCAATAATAAATGTTGCATTTTATTCAATACTAAATATTTCAATATTTTTATCAAAAAAATATTTGCACGAAAAAATGCAACAAAGTGTTTCAATAAACGTGCTAAATATTATTTAAATAAACATTCCTTCGAAATTTTATTTTTAAGAACCATTTTCGGCGAAAAAAATTACGATTATGAAAAGAACGTATGCGCGAAATACGCGAAAAAGCGTGGAGCAAATTTTGTCCTCGCAAGCGAGCGCAACGTACGTCGGCCGCGACTAAATTTGGGATAAATCAACGAAACTTTTCTCCCAGCGCGCGCCCAGCAACGTAACGAATCCGCCGTAAATCCCTCTTATCTCTCGAAACTAAGGGAAGATTAATCGTAGGCACTTACACGTCTCCCGGCGTCACGCTATCTCCGAGAAATTCTCACGATTTCCCATCGCGAAGACGCAATTAAAGTTGGGGGTTTTAACGCGCCGCGGTTACGGAGAGCGAGAAGAGAGGATCGGGAGAATGAGTGACCGACATCAATGATCGACATTGTGCGACTGGGCCGGGTACAGCATTAATGATACGGCGCGGATCTTAGAAAGCGAGATAATCGTAAACGTAATGCGCGCATCTCATCGAATAAATCTCGTCAGGGATCAACGAAACGTATATAACATATATCGACCGCCGCGATTTCATCAGCAAGGAAAACGCATCATTTTCGCGAAATCGTGACACACGATGTGATCTTCGTATCTATAATTGATTAGAAATCGCGCTTAATCACGGAGAAATCGTTGGAGAAGACGTATAATTTATATACCGTCTTCTTCGAATATCTTACTTCGAGTTAGAAAAAAAGATTTAATTTGGAAGAAGCGCTCTCTCACACGTGGATTCGTAATCTTGTAAGAAATGTAACACGTGTGATCATATAAATTCGTTAATAAAACATTACGTGTAACGCTCTAAGACGTAAGTACGTAAATCTCCGAATTTTTCTCTCGCTCTCTCTCTCTCCCTCTCTCCCTAAAAATTTTATCAAGTAGGAGAAGGGTGCTTACCTTAGAGGGATGAATTTTTAAACGTCGGACCGTCGTGCGAAATAAGTAAGCAGCACTTACCAGGATTCTGCGGTGTAATTTATTGAAGGGGTAATTTTAATCTTGTTCTCAGCAAATTTTTCACACTCACGTAGAATTTTATTAGCCCTCATTGATTCGTTTTCCATGTTTTCTTATATAGATTTTACAATTCACACATCTCTTAACTGATATTGAAAAGAATCTACCCGCGCGTTTTAACTCTTCGTCGCAAAAGAAAATACATTGAAGCCAGTTTTACATGGATCTAGTAAATAATTTATTGTCAAGGTTCACTTTTAATCGCACGAATTTGAAAAAAAAACGGTAATAAACGCACAATCAAAATTCGAGGTAGAGGAAATTATAATGAGAAATGGTTATATATAGTATCGGTATATCGTCCCTTTTGTCAGACGTTGCGCATGAATTTCATCCTCCGGGTACAGTACTCTAGTTGCATGTCAAATGCATTCGATTGTGCCTGTCCTTTATTCTAGTAATGATATCGGTTCTAACAGCTATACGATAGTTGCGAATATTAAGCGATTATATTCGAACGCTATTATATGTATAAGGAGATTAGGAGATAAACTTGTCATCAAGTTTAATCAATTATTAAGTAAAAGTGTAATTGCAAATAAAGAGAAAGAGAGAGAGTCTTTATTTTTACAATATTATTTCTCGAAATAAAATAATAAATAAAGAACAAATTCGTATAATATAGCAATAATTTATTTGTTGTTTGCCATGAGAGAAAATGACATTTCTATTCTGTGTGATGTTACAGTGACAGCGGTCATGACAGGTGTACCGGTGCCTCCAGGAGATTCTTCTCGTGCAACATTCAGGTGAGTACGCGAAACAAAAGCTCTTAATCCTCCTCACCCTAACAACCTGAAATCGTCTCAATGATTGTCCGCATCCGCAGATGCGGATGCGGATGCGGGCGATCACGTCGTCTCCCGCGACGTGATAATATCGGCCGGAGATCGCAAAAAGACTCCGTCGTGGGAATGCCGCGGGCTACGTGAGTCGCGTACAATCTGGAACTTGATTAATTGCCGTGTAACAGAGAGTGATTTATGCGATGTGCTTTAATAGATCGAGCGGCTTGACAGTCTATCAAGGAGACCTCGGGCCACGGACGCGTGACGCGCGGTTCAATTATTCGCGTCTGCGAGCAAACTGAAATCAATGAGGGAGAATCGAAGTCTGCAATCTTGTTGTCTTTTCTCCTTTCCTTCTTTCGCGCCCGCCCACGATTCTTACGCGCGTCGACTATATATCGAAGAAAGTGAGTCGTTAAAATACGAGACGAGATCCGTCTGTCTCGATCCGGAAAATTGCGATTCCCTCACTCGTTGAACTCGACGAATGATTGATTCATTCAGTTATGTCATATCTCCACGACGGAACGCCTGCCACTAATTTTTGAGATATAGCTCGACGAATATGGCACGTCAATTTTTAATGATTTGATTTATGTCGTAAATCAATCCGATCCTTTCTTCCTAGCCAATCGTAATGTCGTGGATCTCTGAAGTTTAAACGTGCAATTATTCAAACTTGAGTCAAACTATTATATAAAAAATTGAAAACAAATTTAATTGTTAAATAATATATATATTATTAATAAAATACTTAACCATATTTTTTTGCTACAAAATTTAATATTATTAATCATCGTTAAATTGTACAGAAGAAAAGGATACTTATTTATTCTCTGTATATATTTACGACGGAAATGAAAATGCTTCCTTGCCATTTATATGTAATATAGACACCACACATTTTTATATCTATATCGGCAGACTGCTGACATTTCGGCGATGTTCAACAAATCACTTTGCATTGTTGGGCCATTTATCGCTTTAAAAGTCTGTCCTCCCAAATGGGAGACGAACGCATGTATATCGTCTCGCGTTTTTACGACTCTCAGATGGGCTTCTCCTGCTTTTAACTTTCACGACGTACAAACCGAGCACACCCTCGAGTATCTTCGGCGAGGATTTAGTAGAGTCAGACTTAAGGAACGATCTTTTACTACCACTATACTATAAACTTTTAATCCCCCTCTTGTTCGCATTTTCAAAGGGAATCTACGCGTTTTTTGAAAAAAAAAAACGTTTGACACGCACGTTATCGCCGTCAGAAAAGTTTATCAAAATTTGACAACTCAGTTTTAAAAAAAAAGAAGGAAAAAAATAATGAGAACTCACTAAAGGAAGCGAGATTTACGTATGTATGTATTTTTAAAACGTGCGTTCGCTTCATCGTCGTGCTAGCACACGACAGAGAGATGGGTTCCTCTGAACTTTCGCCTAAATCGGGATCGGCCGTTTGTCAAAGACTCGTTTATGCGCTTTCGTAGAATTATAGGACACTCTCGCGCTCGTGCAAGTCGCGTTACCATTTTCCTCTTTGTCGGTCATACATATAAGCGGATCCGCGCGTATAACGAGTATACGTACTGAGGATAAGAAGGAACACAGAAAGCGGATTCGCGAATGTAACCCGCAGAATTTTTCTCTGTCTTTTCCGCGTTTGTTCGTGCTTCCTCTCTCTCTCTCTCTCTCTCTCTCTCTCTCTCTCTCTCTCTCTCTCTCTCTCGGGAATAATAATTGGACGGGAAACATTGTAGGTATTTAAAAGCTCTATTTCAACCGAATATAACGGCGGGATTTTGCAGTGACTCACTATATAGCCCAGTGACCCTATAAACTCGACCTGCACAATATCTGCACTTTAGCAGGTTTTCCTCTCGGCAGCCAAGTTGATACCGTGAGTGCTCGTGACTTGTTCGGTAAAAGCTCGGGGAGTGGAGAGGTGCGTTATACGGTAACGATAGCGGACCATTAAGCAAACGTTTACTCTTTATCGCTACGTAGATTGTGCTTTTACTTCGCGCCATGACGAGTAATGCAACTAACGAATTTAGAGACACACTTTGAAACATTTACGGCGAAACCGCAATTCCTTTAGCGTAAAATGACTTTGCTGATCTGTCTCGTTTTTAAAACAATACGTACAATTCAAAACAGTTCTTTATGTGTCAACAATTAGACAGCGTATATAAATGTTGAGAATACAAGCATCTCTAATTCAAAATTGTTTATGAGCAATTATTCGAATGTGTCTGTAAAAAAGCATTATTATTAGATCAATTTTTCAATTGAATTTGTTCGAACGATTTGTTTGCGCAAACGGTGATCAATTTCATCTTTTGTTGACGAAAAAGCGTTTTGTCGATTATCAGAATTTTCTCACAATTTACCAGAAAATAATAACCTTTTATTTTGAAAGTAAAAATTAAAGGTTTTTTTATAATAATCAAGGTGATTATTATATGTTATAATCTTAACAATAAATAATTAATATTTTTAATTTAAAAATTAAACGCATAAAAGACAACAAAAATGCGATATCACAAAATTCGCAGATTTTAGAAAATTTACGATGACATTTCGGCGATGTTTTCGCTCTTGCAGAGAAATATAGGAAAATTATGATTAATTAACCGCAATTAGAGAATCTGATGGCGTTCCGCCTTTCCTTTGCGAATTTTTTGCCGTCAACCCGTCAGACCATTTAATCGCGCGCAGAAAACGAGAGAGAGAGAAAAATTATTTCGACAAAAATTATTCATGGGATATCCATCGAGAGATACAATTGTTATGTAATGCGCGCTATTGTTATGTAATTCTGGGAGAAATCTAAGAAAATGTTGCGTAAATTCTCTGAAACTGACATGACAAGAATTTATCTCATCATATTTACATCTGATAAATTGTCGTTTCAAAATTTGATGAAATATGAATGTTATATGAAAATTATTTAAAGTGTCTTGAAATATTAAATTAACGTTTATACATATACATTATTTTTTGGTAAGTACTTATTATAATTTTTTTAATGTAAAAGTTAAATAATTTTTTAATTGTTTATACAATTTAGGATTTAATTGATGTTTCTTCATAACATCTTGTCGCATCACCTTTCATCTTTGTTGTATCAATCACTGTAACTCTGCCGCAAAAAGACAGCTGTAATTATTCGACAATGACACAACGATGACGGAAACGAATATTAACGCGACTGATTTCAATACACTATTACGATCAGCAGACAATGAAGCTGCATCCAAGCACGTGGTGCATCAGCGGTTCTCTGATGGACCGCAGGAGATTTATGAACGGAAGCCCATTATGCATAACATTGACTTGCGAGGCATTAACTTCGTTAGAGCCGAGTGCTAACTGAAACGAATAGCAAGATATACCGCTATATGTGTAGTGACTGCCATTGGCCTCTATTTCCTGGAACGGCAAGTAGTTGCATCTTGTTTTACGATATAGGTCACTCGAAATTGTTCACCCGTGTGTATATATATACGTAAAATGAAATGCGTGAAAGAAAATAAATTAAAGTAAATTTGCGGCTTAGAGTGACGTGTAAACTTGGAAAGTAGAAATATTAACCAGAGGGAGAAATTCTGCAGACGCGACGTAAAAACGGCCGGACATTTCAAAAATTAAGCTTAATCAAGAATTTTTTGTAATCAAGAGTCCATCCTATGTATATATATTTAAAAAGCTGCTGCTTTTAATTCGCAAGCAATTTTTCACAGTCTGAAATACTCGTGACTCTCTAAGAATGCTGACGATGCCAACAAAGAATTTGATTTTATCTATAATATAAACGTGGGTGGCCGTGATGTTGATTTAATATAGCGAACCTTTTGTACTTAATTCGAGCCGAATGTTGCCACAAAGTATGACATCTGGTATTATTTTACACGCAAATACAATGGACACATATTGAATTTTTTAAAACAATGATGATTGTTTTAGTTTGGGATTTTTCATTAATTAATGCAATAATTTATATATTTATTAAATGCCCTTAGCATAGAATATATTATCAACATAATGAAAAAAATATATCATAATATAACGTTTTGTCGTATGCTAAAAGAACACAAAACTATAGAAAATATTAAAAATTTATATTAACTACAGAAATTATTGGAAAAGAAAACGTTATGTGTGTATCAAATTTTCTTATAAAATAATTATTCTTGTTGAAATAATTTTTAATAAGAGATATACAATTTATAAAACAATGAAAAATTCGTTATTGATTTTCTTCGGAAATATGCGGTAAATGGAACGTTGATATCACTCGCCTGCCAGCATTTCGATAATTTGTTTCTCGTGTACTTTTTTCTTGTCCATTTGCGGTTCCGCCCTTGCTGTCTCTTCTCCTGGATAAATCATCCTCTTCAAAAGAGATCGTATAGTCGCAACGAAATGATGATATATGACGCCTGAGCTTCCAGAGCCAGTAGAGAGACAATTTATCAGTTTAATAACAATTAAATGTCTTATATAATCTGCGAATATTATTAGTAATCACGTTTAAATCCCGGCGTAAATAATGGGAAGATTTCCCGAGAGCTCACGAATAGCCTGCAGACAGAGCTGTGCACTAGAGTAGATGGATAATTAACTGCCCCATTATCCTTCCATGTTAAATTAAAGGCAAAGATTTCGACGTGCATATTGCAATGTAGGTCACTTTTTACGTATAAACATTTTCTCTTATTATTAATGTCATATTCTCTCTTTAAAGCAAAGAAAAAGAAAACAAATTATTCTTCGCGAAGAATGTTGTCGATATGATGATGCGCTCCCGTGGAGGGTCAGGACATAATCTACTATTCCCTGTAGAGAGAGAACGCTCTCTTAAGAGCAATAGATTTAAATAATCCTGCACATGGTTTCGAAATACACACTAAGGTCAATCGCTCGACTGCGCAATGCGGCCCCTAAATAATCCCTTATAAATTTTACGGCTGCGAGATCGGCAACATTCGTCATCTGTGACATCATTTTCGGGTCGCCTGGAACCCGAGCCTGGAGCTTTTTCCCGAACATGGCTCGTCGTTCTCTTCCTACCTACCTATTCCGACTACCGTGTTGCCTTGCCACCCTTGTCCCAGCGCGTTTTATTCCGTCCGCAAGAAATCTCCCGCCATAAATCCTACGCCGTATCCTCGTGCGTGGTGCCGGTCTCGCCGGGATATCTTTTCTTCGTTTTTGCTCGGGTTCCACTCGATTTATCGACATTACCTGCCCCGCGGGTCTATCCTCCGCGGAGCGCCCATCTGTGGACCATCTCGTTTTTGCGAACCTGTTCACGAAAATAGCACGGTAGCACGCGCTCGTTGATTTCATGAAAGTTTACCCGAAACGAGAGTGAATTTTCTGGATCTGATGTGTCATCTAATAGCATTCAATTTGTCAAGAGGCTAATAAGTCAGATAGCTAGCTAGCTTACGTACGATGTAAATGTATAAGTCAAGAATAATTCGAACGTTTTATAAATGTCAAGATCGTGACGGTAAAAAAGATAAAATTATGAAACTAGATTTTTGAATTAAATTTATTACATCTGATAAAATCTTAATTTCTGCAACTTTTTATTTGTACAATTTCGAGAAGGCGAGATATCTGACGAGATTAGTGTCGATGAGGCAGATTAACTTAATGAAGCTAGTTAGAAGGAATAGGAACATTACACCGACCCTTTGACATGGAGCCTTGTGTCTGTGAGCGACGCCTTCTTGCGGTTCCATTTCACGTCATGACGAGACATTTTTCTCAACGACGTTTAGACGCGTGTAGCTTTCAAACGAAAGCTTGTCATCTCTACCACGGAGATTTATTTTGAGTTTGAAGTCGGCAAAACGAGGGCGAAAAAGCGCAGTCAAACGTGACGGAAAAAGTTTGCACGACTCATTTTTGCAATGACTTAAAATTTTTAAAGCGCGCGTGACTGTTTCTTTTTTATTTTACAGAAATTTAAATTTTCAGAAAAATAATTATAATATACTTCACGCAATTTTATTTTATTTTTGTCGACTATTTTATTTTGTTATTCCTTGCAAAAATGCAATCTTTATTCTTTTCTATTCCTCAAATCGCTGCGTTGACGATATTCACTGTAACGTAAAAGCGCAACAAAAATGTGATTCAAATCAAAAGATCGTAAAAAATTCAAATGTTGTTGCTTGAATGTTCTATTTCAAAAGAAACGACAAATTCTCTATAAATCGATTTGTCATTTTGGAAATTAAATTGGGATCGCTACACGCACGCATTTTGAAATTTTGTAATTTATTGTTTGCTACCTGCAGATTATATTAAAGAGAACTCGATAATCTCGTGTGTACATAATATAAAAAATTCAGAATTATGCTTATTTCAGGAGTGTCCCGGCGAGCCGACGGATTTCCGAGCGGAGCAATGCGCGGAATTCAACAATGTACCCTTCGAAGGAACGTATTACGAGTGAGTATCATCATATCTCGGCATTATGATTATCAATGCCCACTCGACTGGAAACTCCGTCGAAATTCCGTGAAACAAGATTACCGTTGCATCATGACGTTATGATTTACGACGGCGCTATATGGTGGGACGGTGATGAAATTCTTTGTAGCCTTTGACATTATTTAATGATGGTCCCTTCGCTCTATAATCCGCGGCCGCTTGAATCGTCTTTTAATGGAAGACATCATATTTATGGGTACTCTTTCTCCTTCAATCGCAGTTAGAAAGGGACTCGAGAGGTTCCGAAGGAACGAGCTACGAGAATGATATTGACGATCGTACAAATATCGTAATTTACATCCGACATAGAACGATGACCCTTCTATTCGCCACAATTATATATGTTTTTGTCAGTACATCATCGCTCGCTTTGAATACAAAATAAAATCGTATAATAAAAGGTAAAAGAAAATTCCGTGTCGATAAATAAGCCAGTGAGGAATCATTAGACGAGTGTCATTGACTCTTTGAAATGATGCAACTATGCATAAATTTTTTTATTTTCCGCAGTTGGATTCCGTACACCGGAAGTCCCAATAAGTGTGAACTAAATTGCATGCCGCGTGGCGAACGATTCTTCTACAGGCACAAAGTTGCCGTCGTCGACGGTACTCCTTGCGAATCCGAAAAGAATGACGTTTGCGTCAAGGGTAAATGCATGGTGAGTGCGATATATTTCATAGATCGAAGTCGTGATTGTAATTCCACATAATAATTTTAATGAGGTAATTTTGACTTTGGACTTTTGTGTTAAACGAAATGAAAGAGAAAGCGAATAGAGTGTGATACGATAGAATTTCATGATAAATCTTTTTTGGCACGTCAGCACGTCGGATGCGATATGATGCTGGGCAGCGATGCCATGGAAGACGCATGCAGAGAATGCGGCGGCGATGGCTCAGATTGCAATACCGTTACCGGTTTGTTCGACACAGATGATCTCCAAGTGGGTGAGTTATTTCGAGTTGATTAATAATTATTGCATGAGCAAATTTCGTCCGTAATCATCCTTTGGCGAGTAATTTCCCAGATTATTTCTGTGCAATCGATATCTATTTTATTCAAGAGATGCGATAATTTTATCGCTATTCCGAATATAATCGTTTATGACTCTCTATTGTGGCTCTGCACTAATAATAGAGAATTACCGCGCGTCTTTCAGGTTATATCGATATTCTGCTCATCCCCAAGGGAGCGACGAATATCGTTATAAAGGAAATCCAGCCATCGAATAATTATCTCGGTGAGTAAACTGAACGGAAAAAATAAATAAATCGACGTAAGAAATAATTATGCAAATTATATTGAGCTTGGTATCGATAATCGTTTATTTCGAATAATTTTAAAAACTTGTCTCGATCAGCCATACGAAACACAACGGGACACTACTATCTGAACGGAAATTGGAGGATAGACTTTCCTCGTAGCTTGCGCTTCTCGGGCACGAACTTTCATTACGCCAGAGATCCTCAAGGATTTGCTGCTCCCGATACCATCACGGCCTTGGGACCGACGAATGAACCGATTTATGTTGTGGTCGGTATACATATCGATCGATCTTTTTTTATCAATGAAACGCTCAAAGCATATAAAGAGTACGCTTAACCGAAAAGCATTATTCCCTTTGCAGCTGCTCTACCAAGATCGCAACGTAGGTGTGCATTACGAGTACAGCATCCCGAAGAAATTCTCGTCGCGCACAGATCCGGACAGTTACACCTGGGTAACCGATCAATTCTCCAGTTGCAGCGCCAGTTGCGGCGGAGGTATTACAAGATTATCACTTTAGTATGATTAAACCATAGATTCTCAAGTTTATTATATTTTTTCGCCGCAGCGAGCAACGCGTGTTCTACCTGTTGCATGCAAATATTTAGGAGAGAAACGTGGATTTAATTAAAGAATGTAATACGCGCTAATTTATACTGGCGGTAAAAAAGAAAATATTTCAGCGGTTTGTCAGTGAGTCACGTTTACTTTAATTTGAATATAGGCACAGTATTGAAATATTTATATATGAAATAATTACACGATATTACTGATTAATTTTAACTTTAGTTAATTGAATAGAGATGGATCGTCTACGATTTATAAAGAATTAATTTTCCTCCGGTACTGAAATGTCATACGGGAACAAATTATTTATTTTTAAGGCTATCAATCAAGACGGGTGGCCTGCGTGCGAAGACGCGACAATCAACCGGTGGATGAGAGTCTGTGCGATCCGCAACTGGAACCATCCGACACGCAAGGCTGCAGCGAGGAACCCTGTCCGCCCATGTGGGTGGAGGGTCCGTGGTCCACGTGCACGAAACATTGCGGTGAAGGAGGCGAGCAAACGCGAGAGATTAAATGCGAACAGGTCATCTCGGGTGGGATAGCCAGCGTGGTGGATGATTCCCAGTGTCTGGAAAAGGTGGGACCGAAGGGGCCCGTTAAGCAGGAATGCAACAAGGACGTGGATTGCCCGCAGTGGCACGAGGGACCCTGGAAACCCGTGAGTTATCGCGTTGCCACCCACGGTGATACGCTGAATTATAGTTGCCGCCCCTTTCTCTCACATTAACGTGCGCTATTTAACTCTAATTGATTTCTGTCTCTAAAAAGTATTGCAGCGTTAATTTCATATATAATGTCTTAAAAATGTGCACCTGTATTTTATTATATATTTTATATTTTCAATCTCGTAAAATATAAAATGTGAGAATGTTTTTTTTTCTTCTAGTGCGATCATATATGCGGGCCCGGTAAGCAAACAAGAGCAGTCACGTGCTACAGAAAAGTGGACGGCAAGATCCAAGTGCTGGAAGATGAAGCGTGTGAAACGGAAGTGCCTGAACGTGAGAAAGCTTGCGAGTTGAGACCTTGTGCCGGTCTCGATTGGATCACCTCGGAATGGAGCGGAGTGAGTTCTGTTAAAAATCAACAAACTTTTTGTATAAAAAATTAAAAAATATTCAAAACTATCTAAATTAAATACATCTAAATATCCAAATACATTTAAATAAAATAATCGATTTTGCTTCTATCGAATGAACAGATATATAATTTGAGAATCTCTTCTTGATAGTGCACAGAGAAATGCGATCTTACCAAAGAGACTAGAACCGCTCATTGCGCTACCCAAAACGGCACAGTTTACTCAGATGACTTGTGCGACGCAGACAAGAAGCCAGAACTGGAAAGAGAATGCGAGAAAGCCAAAGAGTGCGACTTCCAATGGTTTACCTCACAATGGAGCAAAGTAAATGCGAAAGAATATTTTTATATTCTTCATTATATTTTGAAATATATTTTTATTTTGAATTTAAAAAGTTGAAAATAATTTTAGTTGCATTTTTTAAATTAACAAATTTATCTCAAATTTTAATTAATCGAATAATTGCTATTAACATTTTCGCAGTGCTCGGCAGAATGCGGTTCCGGCGTTCAAACGCGTAAAGTATTTTGCGGCACTTTCAAAGATGATGTGGTGACAAAAGTATCGGACGATAACTGTGATCCCGAAGAGAAATTCGAAGACAGCAAGAATTGCACTGCAAAGGAACCGTGCAAGGGTGAATGGTTTGCAGGACCTTGGAGCGAGGTTCGTTTTATTATGATTAACTAACACACATGCATATATAACATATCTCTTTTCTTATATGATGAATTGATTGATATTGCTCCTTTTACGTGTCTTGATTTTCTTAAAGTTCTTGTATCTTGATTGCTCTCAACAACCTTTCTATAAAGTTTAAAATTAGTTTGCATATAACTCGTCTGTAATCGGTTTGTTAGACTTGTTAACGTGATCTTCTCAAAGTGTAATCAACGATATCGTCAATCACGTCGCAACGTGTTGCAGTGCTCGAAGCCATGTGGCGGCGGCGACATGACCCGTAAAGTGATTTGCATGAAGGATAACAAAACGGTGTCTGTGAGCCAGTGTGACGCCGACACCATCATGTTCTCCACCGAAGAATGCAACGATCAACCTTGCGAAGAAGGTAAATTTAACAATTTAGTGTTCATACTTAAAGTATTTTAACGTTTAAGAAGAACGTGTGCAAAAGACATTATTTTTGGACGAAAAATAATAGGACTTGAAATAATAATAGAGCTTGAAAAAAATGTTTAATTAATATACTAACTTTAGAAACTGTTATTCAATAATTATTATTTTTAAATTTTTCAAACACAAAAACAAATTTATTTACTTAATTTTATTTTATATGTGTAAAATCTGATTTTTATATTAACGAAATAGAATAGATATTGACATTTACTTCGTTATAATGCAGAATACATTTATACCGCGAGCATAAAATATTGAGCATACTTAGAACAGCAGGCGTGAAAATAACGAGGTTCGCGGTATTAAACTCAAATGTCTTAGCACTTACTATATTCTAAAGGACAACGAAACCACCCACCGTGAATATAACGTCTCCCTCCCAGCGCAGAAAATTAAGCTTCTGACGCGCTATTGAGACTCACTCAATAACGAACACGTATAATTCGTTGATATTACAATTTTTTTATATTTTCAAATTTATATAACTTTGTTATGTTTTTCTGGACATACAAATTTTTAGGCATGACATCAACCGAAGAACCAGGTGAGAAACTAACGGATGAAGAAGAATGCGAGGAAGAGGAAGAGACGGATGCTGTTGAACATGGTCTCCCTGAAGGGGTAAGTGAAACTGGGTCGTATCGCACCTAATCGAATATCAGATGCGACTGAGTTACTTCGTAACTTCGTTTCTTATTGTTCCACCTCCCTTTTCAAAGAGTCGTCCTGGACTCGAATCAAATCGACTCTCCTTTACGCGCGAAACGATCCGATAATGCGATTCTCCTTTCGATTTCGCATCTCACCGAGAACGGATTGGCGCGAAATCGAAAGACTCGCAGCATTGTGAAGCGTCTTTTCGTGTTGCAGAAAGCGACATTGGCCAAGCTGATCCAAGAAACGGAACCGACGCCTCTGAGCTCGCCGTTTACCGGAAGTGACATTTACGATACCATGTTTAGCGATTCGACGAGGGGCGATATATCGCCTTCCGATCTGGGTAGCGGCGAGGGTAGCGGCGATGAGGACGACTTTACCACATTCGATGCTGGCTTCTTCAGCAGCACCAATTTCGATACCGATTCCACCGCTGTCGAGGAGAGCGAAAGTCCGGTGAGCGGAACGACAGAAGGCAAAACCGGTACGACGGAATTCGGAACAGAGGTCACCCAATCGTCGGATATCAGCGAAGGTACGGATGTGACGTTTGAAGGTTCCGGTACTACTGTCGAGGAAGGATCCGGCACAAGTCCTGAAGAAGGATCCGGCGCGAGCGCATCTACAGATGCGATTACTGAAGAAAGTACAGTGGAAGGAACTCAAGCATCAACGTCAGCTGTAACTGCAGAATCCGGCAGTAAGTCTCTGTCAAATATATTTATTTATTACAAATTTACTTATCACAACGCGCAAAAGTTTATTATCGGTGCTGTAATATAACATCTACATGCATCGAAGCCTTTTATCGTTGATAAAAAAAATTAGCTCGTTTTATATATATCTCTTAATGATTTTTAGATTTTACTGAATAAAAAATTACAATCAATGGATTCTTTTATTGCAGGCTCCAGCGAAACTGCCGAATCTACCACCAGTGGAAGTTCGGAAAAATCAACGTCTGAATCCAACGAGACTGGATCCAGCGATACTGGAGCCAGCGAAACTGGATCCAGTGGCGCCACGACTGAATCAGTTGATGCCACTGGTTCAACGGAAAACACAGTCTCATCCGAATCGACAGACTCTACCGAAACGAAGGTAACAGACACCACTGATACGGTGACGACCGATTCGACGGAAACGCAAACTACTGACCCGACAGAATCTACTGACCCGACAGAATCTACTGACCCGACAGAATCTACAGACACGACCGAATCCACGGAATCTCCTCCAAGTACGTCTTCTTCGGAGACAGAGACTACAGTTACGGAAGAAACAGAAACAACCGGAAGCGCCGGAACTACCGAATCAAGCGTTACATCCGGTAAGGATTAAATTAATAATTTTGGTTTAATATTTTTTAGAATATATACATTACAATTTTATGCTTTAATTATTATTCAAATCTATATTCTATATAACTTAAATTTTTAGCAATGTAATATATAAATAAGCGCTTATATTTGATAATAATAGTGGTAAAATTAATTATAATTACATAGCGAGATTATAACGAGTAAAAAGTTCAAATTACAATAAAATAATATCTTACAGAAGAAGCGACTGAGACGTCAACAATAGCCTCTTCGTTGACGACCGAATTAAATAAAGTACAAGGCGAATACGATTTTAATTCGGAAGAACAGAGTACCGAGATTGTAACGACGGAATCGGCTACTACAGGAGAAACCGATCTCACTACGGAAGAAAGTACTGTTTCCGGGACGAGCTCGTCCGACGAGACTGCAACTACCGGCAGTGAAGTAACTGAAACAACCGAAGCAACCGAATCGGAACAAACCACAGAATCAGGCGAGACGACTAAATTCAGCACTGAATTAACTGAGACAACAGAATCCGGATTGACAACCGAATCCAGCGAAGTCACCAGTACGTTAAGCGAGACCACGGAATCGGGCGGGACTACAGAATCCGAAATTACGGAAACCACCGAATCAGGTGCGACGACGGAATCGGGAGAGACAACTTTGTCTGGCGAAACGACCGAATCATCGCCTACGACGTCGTCTCTCGAGGAGACAACGGTGTCCGGAGAGACCACCGAGACGGAAGTTACGTCCTCCACGGTCAGCGGAGAAACCGATCTTACCGAAAAGACTCACGGTAAATGACCGATTTGCAATGTTATGAAATTCTCTTTTATTCTTTTCTTCTTCTTCTATTATGGCTGCTTGAGAATTAAATTAGCTCATACACCAGCTTTTCTACTCTCTATTAACTCTCTAATCATGAATTTTTCAGTTACGGAGATTTGGACAACCAGTTTCCCGGAGACGACGCAGAAGCGACAGTGCAAACCGAGAAAGAGCTGCAAAAAGACACCGTTTGGATGTTGCTATGATGGCATCACCGCTTCTAAAGGGCCATTCGGTCAAGGTTGCCCGACACCCCAGACGTGTAACGAGACGGTATACGGATGCTGTCCCGATGGCGTGTCACCGGCCACTGGTCCGAAGAATGCCGGTTGTCCCGATTCTCATTGCAACGAATCGCTCTTTGGCTGCTGTCCGGACGGCGTTACCACGGCGCAAGGCAACGATTACGAAGGATGCAAGAAACCATGTGGAGAAACAGAGTCAGTTTCTGTATTTTTCGTACGACGTCAATTTCTTCAAATAATTTTGCATCCAAATAATAAAACGCAATTTTTTTAATTTTAATTTTTAATTATTTATAGATTCGGATGTTGCCCGGATAATGAGACCGCAGCTGATGGAAAGAATAATCTGGGATGTTGTAACATTACCAAGTTCGGTTGTTGTCCGGATAATATCAAAGCTGCTTCGGGTCCCGGTGGCGAAGGTATCTATCTTGTCTTTAGTCTGGACTTATATATAAATTTATTATACAGATTTTTGAGTGTTTTAATTTAATATGTTGCGACAAGGTTGCGAGGAAGAAGTCACTTCCGAAACAGCTGAAACGGATATGTATGAGACAACGACGCAGCCAATTTCGCGCGAAGATTGCGCGAACACCACCTACGGCTGTTGTCCTGATGGTGTTACCATTGCGAATGGCACGAACTTCGCGGGATGCGGTGTCATTAATACCGAAAATTGCAGCGCATCCTATTTCGGATGTTGCCCTGACGGAGTTTCTGCAGGTATGAGGTTTCGCCGCCCAATCAATTATACGACAAATTTCTCGAGAGATATTATTTCTCAAAATAGTTAATTATTCATTAGTTCGCTATTCGAGAGAAACACACTTTCCTGATTCTTAATATTTTAAAATATTATAACTTTTGTTAGTGAAATAATACGAGAATAATACTTTAGAATTATTATTTTAACTTTGAAGTATTAAAATATTCAAAACTTGGAGTATATATAAATTGAAAATAAAAATGTTTTAGGCAAATTGTTTCTTTCCAAATATTTTAATAATTCTTTATTAGTCACTTTGTCATTAAGAAGCGAATTAATAAAATCGAAGAAAATTAGGACAAAAATAAGCGAACGATTTCGAACACATTGTATACGTATGTGTTTCGCGACTCTATTCCCGTAGCTCTCGGTCCGGATAACTACGGCTGTAGGATGCCTTGCCACGATAGTGCTAATGGATGCTGCGAGGATGGGGTAACACCGGCGCACGGACCAAACAACGAGGGATGCTGCTTATCGACCCCGTACAAATGCTGTCCGGATAACATTTTGCCGGCGCGTGGACCAAACTTCTACGGCTGCGGCTGCCAATACACGAGATTCGGCTGTTGTCCGGATAATTCGACGGCGGCACGCGGACCGAGCAACGAGGGCTGCGGCTGTCAATACACGCCTCACGGTTGCTGTCCGAATCGGTTCACTCCCGCCAGCGGACCTAATTTCGAGGGATGCCCGTGTTACACTTATCAATTTGGATGTTGCCCCGACGGTGTCACCATCGCCAAGGGTTCTCATGGTCAAGGTAATTTTTATGATCGATGCGCACAATCGATATACAGGATATACCCAAAACTAATAGTAAATCTGTTAATAACAGATTCCTGGGATAATTTGGAGACGATTTTTTCTCAACGAAAATGTCGAGGCATCAATAACTTTCGAGTTATAAGCGATTGAAAATAAAGGGGTTTTCGCAAACTAAACCTTGTGGAAATGAAATATTAACAAAATCATATTTGTTTATTAATTACATGTAGAGTTTATTTTAATAGAATTTTAATTTAAGACTTAATTATTCGACATTTTCACTGAGGAAAAATCGTCTCCAGAAATCTGCCATTAACAGGTTTACTATTAATTTTGGGACACCCTGTATATGTGTTTAATCTGCCAAAAGAATATATAAGTTGACCAAAATTCTGTAGTTTAAGTAAATAATTTGTTAACTGATTGTTGAAAAATCGCTATGAAAACGATTGTTACACGAGTAAGAGATATATTGCATCGCGATGTGTTTGGCGATATTCACAGGTTGCGGATGCGAGAATACGCAATACAAGTGCTGTTCGGACGGCCGGACTCCGGCGACAGGACCGAACTTTGCCGGATGCACTTGCGACGCTTCGCAGTACGGATGCTGTCCAGATGGAATCGAGGACGCTCAAGGGGAGAACTTTGAGGGTTGTCTTTCGGTACCGTCGATGCCCGGCGCCGCCTGCGGTTTGAAGAAGGATAGGGGCTCCTGTAGAGACTTCACAGTCAAGTGGTTCTACGACACCGATTACGGCGGCTGCTCGAGATTCTGGTACGGAGGCTGCGAGGGTAACGAGAATCGATTTAAAACGCAGGAAGAGTGCAAAGAAGTTTGCGTTCAACCGAAAGGAAAAGGTATTCGAAGATGATTTTTTGCATTAAAATATATATTGCCTTCTTGCTACAAAAATAAAATTATGTGCATTTTTCTTTTCATAAATTTTGACATAAAATTACTACGATATAATTTTTGATATATATAAATAATATTTGATATAAAATTTTTATAAACTAATTATATGTCCAAATATTCCAAAATAATGAAACAAGGAATTTTTCATTTACTTTACAGCTGCTTGCTTCTTACCAAAGATCGCTGGTCCTTGCGAAGGATATCATCCGACATGGTATTACGATGCCGCCAGGAAACAGTGCGGTCAATTCATTTACGGCGGTTGTCTCGGTAATGCTAATAAGTTTAAAACTAGGGAGGAATGCGAAGAACTTTGCGTCACGCCAGACGACATTGGTAAGCAGCTGTATCCATAATGATAGAAATTATTCATATTTTTAAATTATTTTGTCTATAAATATAAATTTAAAACTGTCTTTTTCAATATATATTATTATTTTTATTATTATTAATATTATTACTATATTTATATTATATATATTATTATTACTATATTAATATTATTATTCTAGGATTTGCAGAATCAACTAATTAGATAAAATAAATAAATTAAGTTTTTCGTTTATATTTTATTACAGATCCTTGCGATCAATCAAAAGAGACAGGTCCTTGCGCAGGCAACTTTACAAAGTGGTACTTTAATCAAGAATCGCAAGCTTGCGAGCAATTCTTATATGGTGGCTGTAAAGCGAACAACAACAACTTCCCGACAGAGATTGCGTGTCATCAGCAATGTTTGCAGCCAGGTCGAAGGAAAGGTATGTTTTCTTTTCGTTACTTCTTCTATATAAAATTTTGTGCATTTTACATGTGTAATTTATTAGTTTATTTGCATGATATTAGTTGTAAAGTGGGATTTAAAGTGAGTTACTCGATCAGTTCTTATTACTAAATTTTTGCTATTGACAAAATTATGCAATAATTTCTCTGAGAAATTAATTGCAAATTTGGAGATAAATCGAATTCGGTAATGTATAAATAATACTACTAATAGTTTATCGTTTAATATTTCTGGTAATGATCTCTATTCTTAATAAATTTCAGCTAACAATTCAATCTATAATGTAAATCTAATTGATAACATAATGCAAATCGATACACTTATTTTTTATATATTTAAATATTCGATATACAAATTTATTAAAATTAAAAAGTTAATAATAATTTAATAATATTTTTATAAAATAAAAAAATTTTAAAGAGAGATCTCAATAAGAGATTCAATGACACATCTAGAAAATATTTAATAATATATTTACACACACACACACAGTTTTGATTAAATTAAGCTCATCGCGTTTATCTCGCGCATAAATGGAGCATAGTTTTATTGAGAATGATTGGCACTAAGCGTGTTCAAGTAATTCGAAACTCCTTTACCACCGATATTAGTTCTAAACGTCAGTTACGAGGATCGAGTCGACCGCACAGTGATGGACGAACTTTTGCAGTAAAACTGTCTGACGTGTGCGCCATGAAGAGAGACCCCGGACCCTGTCCGGGCTCGGCATTACGCTGGTATTACGATGCCGAGCGTGGTACTTGTAGCCAATTTGTTTACGGTGGTTGTAAAGGCAACGCCAATAAATTCCTTACTCTTGCTGCCTGCCAGCAACGTTGCCCATCAGAAGGTACAGACAATAAGACGGAAAGAAACAGCTTAACATTGCTTCGTGATAACATTCACGCGCGGAACAAAGAGGACTCGATGCCGTTTGATACGATTTCGAGAAAGCGTTTGTCCTCGTTTTTCCATTTTTTTTATACAGCACTTGGCACTTAGGTGATGGTGACCGAAAAAGGCACATCCACGATGCAACACTGGAGCAGTTTCGGCAGCAATGTGATCACGATTCATAATCGTGCTTTGGCTTTTCAATTTCAATTTTGTTTAAATACATTTGCACTTGCATATAATCCTGTCACACGATTTTTCAAAAATCTTTGTTTGGATGAAAAAGTTGAGAAATAAATTTTCTAGTTTTATTTTTTTTGCAATATGTCTCATACATAATGTTTTATCTTATCTAATTTAATTAGACTTTGGTCGGTTAGAAGTTGAAAAATAATGCCAATAATGATTACTGTATATTAAGTTCCATATAAATTTAACACACTTACAAAATAATTTTTACACAAAACAATTAAAACACACAGATAAGCAAGATTCTATTATGGCTGGTATATTAAACATTACATTATAACACAACTCATTTAAACATTACAGCTCTTTACTTAATAACAATATAATATTATATGAAATAGTGATGGAGCATCATTAAATATTTTTATAGGTACATAACTTTGGACGAATACATATTTTCAGCTGTTAAATAGCAGCTGAGATATACGTTGATATGGTTGACTAATAATAGAACTAAGACGCTTCAAACTCGTGACATATACATTGTAATGAAATAGCTAGGGCGGTATCTGATTAACGGGTTTAATCTAATTTTGCATGGTATAATAATTAATGCGCTTAACAGATATTTGCATGTTGCCGCGGGCGGAGGGTACGTGCATGGAGAAGCAATCTCGATGGTACTTTGACCAATCGGAGAATCGTTGCATGCCATTCTATTACACTGGCTGTGGCGGAAATAAAAATAACTTTGAATCTAGAGACGTATGCGAGTCTGATTGTCCGCCCAAGATCGGTAAGATTTCCCTTGTGTCTTTCCTATAACATCTTTTTCTACTTCAAACTCTATAAATCTTGAAAAATTGCTACTTTCCTTCGAGCAATTCTTTTTTCTATATATAACTGTCTTTTTATATAAAACTGCACGATGCACGAAGAGACTCTAGTTGGAAAAGTTTATATCTAATTTATATCTAGTTGAGCACATTTTGATAACATATCATACACATATTTACAATTATACATAGTTCTTTCTCAATACAAAAAGAATTATAAATATTTGCCTATCATTCAAATTAAATTCTATATAATTAATACTAATTTATATCAGAGTTTCTTATAAATGTATTATCATATTTATTCATATTATTTTTGAAGCATTGATGAAATCAGAAAAATTTTCCTAATCACATATTTACACGATTGCAATCGATTAGCAAAGCTTATTAAAAAAATAACTTATCGACATGCGAATACAAACTCTAAATTCATGAATGCAGAACAAGATATTTGTCTCCTGCCTGCCCTCATGGGTGAATGTCACAATTATACTCAACGATGGTACTACAACTCTTACGAGCAGCACTGCCGACAATTCTATTACGGTGGATGCGGCGAGAATGAGAATAACTTCATGAGCGAGCAGGATTGCGTCAACAGGTGCGAGACGACCGTCACTACGCCATCCCCGCCAGGACGGGAAGTCGAGTTTAGATCAGGTAAGGTTTCCGACGATCACGGAAATACATCCTGCTATTTACCGCCACGATACCGCTGCTGTGCTAATATGAACGAAACGTCGTAGAATTCTGCTTCCTGCCCGACGAACACGGCCCGTGTTCCGAGAATCAGGTCAAGTGGTTCTACGACAGTCGCGACGGTGTCTGCAAACAATTCCGATACGGAGGCTGTCAGAGCAACGGCAACAATTTCAATAGCCGCGAGGAGTGCGAGTACCGCTGCGGAGAGCTTCAAAGTAAAAAGATTCAGAATTTAATTATTAATTATATAATCTTAATAATGTCCATTAGATGATGTACATGAAAATATGTTATTTTTTATTATTTTATTAGTTATTTATTTATTGTGACGGAACATTAAAGTTATGTAAATCCATTCTCGGTGGATATTCAAGTATTATGGAGAATCCGAAACAAAAATATTGGAAAAATTTCAGATCCTTGCACGCTACCAAAAATAGTCGGTCCCTGCAATGGCTTCGTGCAGCAGTTTTACTATGATCCACGCAGCGATTCCTGCTACGAGTTCGAGTACAGCGGTTGTCAAGGTAATAAGAATCGCTTCCAGGATAGAGAATCCTGCGAAAGACAATGCACTCGGCAGCCGGCCGTCATTACACCATCGGAAATTACTCGAGGACCGCCGATCGAAGAACCGAAGAGCCAGATCTGTTTGACACCGGTCGATTCCGGCGATTGCGATGACTCCATCACCGCGTATTATTACGATGCTCAGCATCAGATGTGTCAGGCGTTTATCTACGGAGGCTGCGGCGGTAATGCTAATAAATTCCAGACCGAAGAACAGTGCGAGCGACTTTGCGGAAGGTTCCACGGACAAGGTAAAGTTTCGTATAAAAAAACTTTGAGACAATCTTCGCTGTTTTTTTACTGTACATAGTGAAATTTTTTAATTATAAATATTATTATAAATCAAATAAATTTGAAGAATCTAATTTTAAAGATGTAAAACTGTATTTGCATAGCACACATTTTTTTCCTATTGATTTCAAGAAAAGCTGATTGTGTTAGATTAGAAAAACTAGAATTTATCATCAGAATTCAATTTTGATTTTAACTTAATTAAATTTTAATTGTCTCAGACGTATGCAACCTTCCCGTGGATCCCGGCACGTGCAGAGGCGCTTTCCGCAAATATTACTACGAACCGAGCTTACGTGCCTGTCGTGAATTCAGTTACGGTGGATGCGATGGTAACGCGAACAGATTCAGCACTATCTCCGAATGCGAATCCATCTGCGTGCATCACGAGGAGCCTGTGGCCCCCGGAAACGACACTAGCGTTTCGAATCTATGTACGTACAGTTCTATTATCATTATATTATTTATTCTTGAACGATAATTCCTTATTCGAATTGTATTAATTTATAAAAATGGGTGATACTTTTCGTCTATTCTATCTGCGAAAGATTGAATGTACTTTGAATAACAATATTCGTGATGATATAGCGATCTGTAAAGAACCGGTTGATAGTGGGTCTTGCACATCTGGTTCTGCCAAACGATTCTACTTCGACGAGGAACGCCAAACGTGTCTAGCGTTTATTTATACCGGATGTGGTGGCAATCGAAACAGATTCAAGACTTTCGAATCATGCATTAATAGTTGTCTTAGGAGTAAGTCGAGGATGAGAGATCGTTCACAAGTTTCTTTTATTTTCTTTGTGTTACTTACAGACCCTGCCTTTCAGCTTTATACAGTAATCATTTCTTTTGTATATACATATTTTATTATCTTTTTCTGCATATATGTATATCTCTTTTCAGTAAGTACATATATCTATATAAATTTTGTTTTTCTTATTTCATTTAATCTAACCGAAAATAATTACGCGTGCGGATCGAAGTTATATTCTTTGATTTGTTTTTATTTATGTTTTTATGCATGTATTGTAATAATTTTATGCATACAATAATATAACTTCACTTTATGCGCGTGATTATATTCAGTTAGATTAAATGAAATGAGAAAAATATATGTATGTATAAAGATATAGGTATAAAGAAAGAAAAAATATATACATATATGCATTATACAATTATTCATTTCTTCATATTTTAAATGTTTTGTATATTTTTATGCTTTCCTCTCTTGTGCAAAACTTTTGTTAATCACATTCTTATCCCTCAATTTTTTATACCTACGATAAAATTTTGCTTGTATGTATATTGCTATCAATTAAGTTTCTTTCAATTTACATTTCCTTTATATGTGTATAATTAAATTAAATTCCCAATTTCTTTCAAGCATATATCAAACAAATATGACAAAAAAAAACTATAATTTTGACGCCTGCGAAATATTATGTTCCAATAAATAATTAAACTTCTACGTTCATGTAAATACTAACATACAAACATGCATATATTAATTTTGTGCAGCAATATAAATGTGCCAGCGATTTTTCTTCTTTTATTGGAAATTATTCTTTTGCCACTTAGAAGAGTAATTTTTTTCAATTTTTCGCATCATACGTGATTGCAGCAAGTAACGAAATAGACGTGGACTCCAAAGACACGAAAGATCTTTGTGCGGAGGCCAAGGAAGAATGTAACATCGTCCGCTGTCCGTATGGCAAAGAACAATACGTGGATTCACAAGATTGCGAACGCTGTCGTTGCGTCGATCCTTGTAGAACGAAGATCTGCCCCGAGGGAACTCGATGTGCCATTACGTTAGTCGCTGTGCAAGAAGACACGGAGTATAAGGGCGTTTGTCAACCAAGTAAGTTAACAATTAAAATAAAGTGATTTATAACAATTCAATATATAAATTTTTAACAGAAAACAAAAAATATAATTTTCTACAAGAATTTTTCGATCAAAAGTATTTACGCTTCCATTAGATTCGTGTGTCTCTACGCGTCCGGTTCGTGCGAAACTGCAATTACGTGATCAGATAAGTACATCCCACACATCCACTATGGTGCGCGCCTAACGCGAAACTGATTCTCGTGCGGGGTATCGCGAGCGCGGGACCGATGGTCACATGACCAGTGGTCACATGACCAGTGGGCCACTGGTCATGTGATCTTGGCTTCGTGCTCGCGATACCTCGCACGAGAATCAGTTTCGCGCGAACCGCGCTACGTGATGGAAGTATAGGGTATAGAGTTTCGCGCGAGTCTAATAAAAGCGTAGATATTTGATCACAAAAGATTCTTGTAGAAAATTTTATTTCTTTGTTCGTATTTTCTGTTAAAGATTTAAATATTGAATTTTTATGCATAATTAATATATTCTTTATGCATTGATTACAATAATAAATAATTTTTGCATGCATGCGTCGCAATTTTCGAGATTTTATTATCAAGGAATAATATATATATATATATATATATATATATATATATATATATATATGCTACATAAATTTAGTATTTATAAGCAGATTTGTTAATACAATAGGAAGTTATAAGTAAAAGTAATTGTGTTGACTCACAAATCAAACTCAGTTTTGTTATCAAGTTTAATATGATATAGCAAATTATTGTTAGTATATAGTAAACTGATGGTAGAATACTAATACAAATTTGAGAAATACAATTAAATAATTTTCATTAAAAAATAATACATAGGTATAATTGATGCTACAATATATTGTATATTGTATTAAACAGTTATATTTTAATTTTCTATTATGCATTTTATATTTTAAATAGGAACGATATATTTAATTCGACCCAAACTAGCCAAGAAAATTTTTATTTTATTTCCACAACGTTTCGACCATCTGAAAAATTCCTTGATAAAAGCGCAGTTAGTTGACACTGTTGTCATGATTATTAAACAATATGATTATCGGACTTTTTTAAAAACATTTGAAATAACTTTGAAAGTTGTTTTTTGACGATCCATCATAACGATAAGATGCGGTTACTTTCTTTCAAAAGTTATTTCAAATGTTCTTAAAAAAGTCCGATAATCATATTGTTTAATAATCATGACAACAGTGTCAACTAACTGCGCTTTTATCAAGAAATTTTACACTTGAAAAGGACCAAAAACAGATGGTCGAAACGTTGTGGAAATAAAATAAAAATTTTCTTGGCTAGTTTGGGTCGAATTAAATATATCGTTCCTATTTTAAATACTACTAGCGACGTTTTAAGTATTCAATTTGATTTATATTTTAATTTTAATTCTCAAGTGTCTATTACGTACATAGTTTTAATTTGCCAAATTTTAATTATGTATATAATTTTAATTTCTGACTTTTTGTTATATACCAGACAACACAAGCGCGTGCTTCGCGCGCGTTATTAATATTATTTTTATTTTTTATTTTACAATTATTAAACTATATTGTTTGATGCTATTAATATAACACACAATGTTAATCGGGAAAATCAATCAGCATCGCGGAAAAGCAGCAACAATATTTGTAATAATCGACTTTGCATGTCTTTTTTAGAAAAGGATTAATTGTATTATTAAATTATTAATTATATTTTCTCCGGAAAAAAGGATTAAATAACTGTTGCATGATTTGTGCAAAAAAATATACGTCTAAAAATAAGTTTTATGAATCATTTATCGTCTCCTACAATCTTGTTTAACATAATGGAATTGCTTTGTGTTTGCAGTCGTTAAACCCGGGCGTTGTTCAAGAGTATCTAACAGCACGCGATGCGAGCAAGAATGCGTCACGGACGCGGATTGTCCCGGAGAGACGAAGTGTTGTGACAATGGCTGTGGTACATCCTGTTTGGAACCCGCACCGGAAGAGCCGTTGACGACAACGTCACAACCCGTTGTCACCCCACCGCAATACGGAGGTGAACCCGCGACGATTCAACAACCCGACGAACCTCGCGTCAGCGCACAGGAGGGCGGTTATGTCACGTTAAAGTGCGTCGCTCTGGGAACTCCCAGACCGATTATCACATGGAGGAAGGATACCACATTGGTAATTTTATAATTGGATCGATATTTTATTGTTCGAGAGAAACGTGATAAATATGTAATTATAATCAATTACATTTCCAATTATCTAATTTATAAGATATTGGACGAATATAATTTTTTAGATCGGACCCTCCGAGAAGAGACGACGTATACTGAGCGATGGATCTCTTCAGATTATTAATTTATATACTTACGACAGAGGAACTTATGTATGCACCGCTGATAATGGCGTAGGACCACCGGTAAGACTGGAGTATCAATTGGAAGTCACAGGTACGTGAAAAATCGAATTATCTTGCAAGAAATGATCTCCTTTCAGTGTATAACTTTAGATAGAATAGCATTAACAGGTAATTGTGGTATGGTGTAGAGATTTGCACTATGTTCCTGACTGGTTGACTTGAAATGTAACCGCACATAATATATAAATATTTCCACTTTTATTTAATATTAATCTATTAGCTAAAAAAAAGATAAATATGTTGTGGTGTCTTACGTAGTGAAACACATTATAAGACTGCCATAAAGTAAACAAAAAATTAGAATTGTCTTTTAACACTCAGTGATCAAAATAAATATCAACTCTCGACTTTCTGGGGGTACGATTAACACTTCTATTCCTAAGTCTTGCGCATGCTCCTCTTCTTGCACTCTTTAGACCCGGAAGAGCTTCCGGTAACCATCATTGGAGAGCCTGACAGTCGTATAACGGTGACGATGAATTCGCCGATAACTCTGCATTGCTATGCAATGGGTTGGCCGAGGCCATTTGTCACCTGGTGGCGTGGTGACCGCATGTTGCCCTTGTCCTCGCAGAATTACGAGCAGGAGAGCGATTATACTCTTCTGATACGTTCGGTAACCTTGACCAGCCTCGGTGTTTATACCTGCCAAGCCTATAATGGCAAAGGTCCACCAGCGTCGTGGTCAACGACCCTACAGGCAATCGGGCCCGTCTACAATGTTAAACCTGAGCACGAGGAATATACCAAATACCTCGTACAACCCCCGAAGAGACCCACTACCGAGAAACCGCAGTATCCTTACAGACCTACTAGAACGCAATCCCCCGAATATCAGACTTATGCTCCCGTTTATCCCTCGAAGCCACCTCGCATACCTCAAGTTATCCCTCTTCAATCCACCACTGTTGAATCCGGCGGCGCCAGGTTTAAAGGTGAGGTCACGCGATAATTGAATCGACGTTTTTTTTTTTTTTTTTACTATAAATTGCACCGATCATTGTATCGAGTATGTTTGTTGCTTCTTGCAAAATTTGCAAGAATCGGTCAAGACGGTATCTTTTACGAGTTAAATTTTCACAATATTTTATTTTCCGTTATTAATGACGGTGCAATGACGGTGCAATCGAATTCTTCTTAATTATTCCTTTCTCTTGCATGTACCTATATTTCTAATACTTGCATCTTGCATTATCGCTTGGAGCTGTATTATAATTCGCTTATTGGCTGTTTTAAATATATAATTCTAAGAGTTTAATTTCTTATTTAGAAGTAAACGAAATTTTGTAATCAATGTAAGTATACAGAAATTTTACATTCTCTTTTGCTTTATACATTTTTTATTTTATATTTATTCTTCATATTTATTTATTTATTTATATAACAGAAGGAGAAATTATCATGTAAGTTAATAATTTTGATTTGCAGTACCGGTCAAAGTAAATGTATCAGCAGGACAATCACATTTCCCCGAAGGCAGTGACATAAGCATTTCTTGTACCGTGGATGGTTATCCTATTCCACGTGTGCTCTGGTATAAGAATGATGAGCTTATTCGAACCGATAATCGAATTAAGATTTCTGGTAAGGGAATACATCGTACTAGATTAAATAATGAATATAATAAGAAATAATAAATATCATAAATAATAAATATATATACAAGATAAAATAAATATAAAAAATAGAAAAAATGATAATAAAAATATAAACGCAGATAATAATATAATATAATTTTAATTTTTAGAACTCAATCGGCTTATTATCAGTAATGCAAATAAAGAGGACTCCGGTCGATATCGATGCGAAGCAGCCAATGAATATTCTTCAGATTCCGAAAGCGTTGATATACGCGTAGCTGGTAAGTAATTCGTATCAATATTTTTTACGCGATTATTCATATACATATTTGGACGCGCGCTTAAATTATCCATCCATTTCTTTCAGGCATCTTCATTCATCCTCATTGCCAGGACAACACGTTCTTCGCCAATTGCGAACTTATCGTGGAGGCGAAATTTTGCACGCACACGTATTACGCGAAGTTCTGCTGTCGATCGTGCACAGAGGCCGGCCAGCTGCCAGCGAGAGGACCCCATATCGATAACGCGAAGAGAAGAAGAAGGAGATCCATTCTACGAATGCTCGTCTAAGATACCAAATCGACTCTTCGGTATTTCCGACTCACACGTGATAGCACATATCGATCTTGGATCGTGGCCGGCGGGATACGCGACAGAGAAGGGAAACTGAGAGGAGAGAATCATGCGCGCATCTCCATCTGCCTCCCTATATCGGACGTACCGAATAATCGACTTGTTAACTCACTGCCAAAGCCTTAGAGCGTTTATACATAGATATAATATATATACAGTATCCATCTTTAAACGTGTGCGACTTGCGTGATCTCACGCCTCTCTATCCATGTATATACGATCTGACGCTGAATCCTAGTCCGACGGAGCCATATTAGGCGGATTAATTAACTTGTTCTTAATGAGAGACCAGTGGAAAAGCGCGTCGCAACTGCGCGTGTCTCTCAGACGACATTTCGAGGTAATCAATGTCGCCTGATTAAAGCACGTAGATCGTGTTATCGAGTCTACGGGAAAAATTATTTCTAATTAGTATTCCTTTAAACATATATCTCATATGCCATAATAATAAAATTGCAATTTTCGAAATTTTAACTATTAACAGCTATGATAATTTATAAGATATTTGTATATGTACCTTCCCGTGGTGACGCGATCGCGCAAGCTCCTTCTGTGCAACCGACTTGTCAAAGATTCGATAATTCCCGCCCGAAAACACGATCTGAAGAGTCTCGATCGATATGACGATATAGCGTGACCATTTTTTTCTCATGCATCATAGTGTCAGTCAATGACGCGTGCACGACGTCATGAAAAAGAAAAGATATATATATGATATGATGTGTATGAAGTAAAAATTTTCTCGCGTAGAATATTGTCTAAGTCAAGTGGGATCCTTGTCCCCCTCATTGAACACACTGTGCTGCGTGATTAAAAAAAGGATCCTGTACCTATTTGTATTAAGGATATTACGCACGTTACGTTGTATAATATAAATAGTTTATTATTCTCAATATGCCATTTATATTCTATGATATTGTTATTACTTGTTTCTTATACTCGAATTATATATTGCCATATAACGCGCGTCGCCGCCAAGATAAATTACATTATTACTTTGTTCAGAAAAAAAAGAGAAGAATGGATCGTAAACTTTTCATGAAAAACGATAATCAATAATCAACAGATAGTTTCTTTAAAAAATCAAGATAATGAACAAGTTCAATCTTGAGAATTTTACAAAAAAATAAAAAGAAGCACAATGTTTAAGTACGAATACACAAACACACAGACATGTAACTCTATTCGCGCGAGCAGCGTAATTTCGTGCCCAACTTGCAACATTCTTGACTTGTGTGTCTCGTTATATCTTATCGTAAGACATATGTACGAATAATCAATTTTTTACCGTATTTTCAACCAATTATATATCTTTCGCGCGTAAATCTATTACATTTAACGTTTGTTCCTGACGAAGCATTTTAATCGTAACTATTAATTATATATTACATTTGCTATTTCGCTAGATGCATCGTCATTCATGATATATTCGATAGATTATAGAGATACCAATCGATTAGAAAACGAGAAGAGATACCAAACTGCATTTATACACACTACACACACACACATACACGAACACACATATCATAAGTGTAAATCATAAGATGAAATTGACGTGTCGCGAGCCTCTAGGACGACTCTCTTGATTGTTTCGTACTTGTACCGATCGATTCAGTAAAACGCAGTGCCTTATTAGATGACCTTCAAAAGGATTGGAGAAAGAGTGCTGAATATACACGACGTCTCGTTAGTGTAAATAGCCGTCATGCGTATTGTGTACCCGCATATTTATTTCCGAAATGCGCGGTGTATTGTATATCATCTCGTATATATTTAAAATATTAGCTTATAAATTTATCCGAAAAACGCGGATATTACTCGGCATTTCAAATCGCGAGATACAAGAATAGAGTATCGACGAAAATATTAAGTACTCTTCTCCTCCTTTAGACATTATCAAGAGACGTGTTGAAATCATTGATACCCATATGTAGATTAGTGACCCGATTAATTGACGATGTAGTAAATGTGTAGGTAATCGACATTGAATCAGCTGTTTCCGCAGAGAGAATTTTGAAATTGATTGTGAATGAGAAACCGTCTTGGAAGAAACGTTAGAACGGAATATGGAAAATTGAAAATCGTACGTTCTACAGATACGTGTTTCAAACATAAATATGATTATTCATGTTGCGCAACTTTGAGGTGTCGCAGCCTCCGAATCGGGCCGTTTTCCGCGTAAATATACATATAACGTTTATCGTTAATTTATACCACGTCGCATGTCGTTCATCACATATCCTAAAACAGAATGGCAATATCTTGTGCAGTGACCATCATGAAGTTGATTAATCGAAACCGCGAAATCTCGCGGACTCGTTGGAACTTACCTCGCGCGTAACATGACATCGGCTATATCCATAATGATCTGCTGTCTTCCTTGTTATTGACGAAGTGTGTCACAGAGCTTTCGTTTCCCTTACCTTGACGCTGATAAATCGGCGACGTTTCATCACGATCAATTCTACGGGTCCCGACACGAAGCTCTGACCTCTTTGTAAAAGAAACTTGCCAAAAGAAAAGAAAAAAAGAACCACGATTCATATCCCTCATGCATAATATTGATAGAAGTATAGTTCGTCACGAGAGTGCTACCATAAAGTCTTTAGCGGAGATGTAATTGTAACTGTAAGTACTATATATATATAGGTATATATTATATAACGATTAATAATAATAATAATAATATATATATATATAATTTTAAAATATAAAAAGTAGATATATATAAATATATATGAAAATACCACTCCACCACCACCACATTGTACGATTATTGTATGGACAATAATAATATATAAGGTCCTTAAATATATGATTACACAATCAGTATGATTATTATTTTGCGGTAAGAAAAAAAACCATGTACTTTATAAGAGGTCAACTTTATTTATAATTACTCCTTGATAAAGATATATTTTTCGAAGAAATGTTCAAAATTAACAATTATACAACATGAGGAATTACTGATGCTTATTTAAATTTCTTGGAAAATAGGAGGCAATTAAAAGAAGATTAAGCAGACAATCGGTAATCGAGATATACACTTAAACTCTGGTTTTTGTTGGCCTGCTGCGTAAATTTGGCACGCGACTCGGACGCATCAGGAAACGCTTGTGTTGTTCCTCGACGCGGACGGTTTTTTCTACGCGTTCCGTGGCGATGCGCTCGATCTCCGCGAACAGTTCGCTGTTCACGTCTATGCATTGACGGAAGTCCTTACGATCGAGTCGATACGTTTCGCAGACCTCGATCGCGATGACGCTGGCGACCCTACGCTGATCCGCCACTAAGAGCGCGATCTCGCCGAAATAGGCACCGTCACTCAAGTGACACATCTCAAGAGCGACAACACAGAATGAATTTCTTGTAACAAACGTGAATACATTGACAGAAATTTTGTACTTACTTCCTTTCCAGTCGGCGTCAGAACCGCGACGGTTCCGGACGACAAGAAGAACATGCAATCACCCTGAGTGCCAGCTTTGATGATTACTTCATTCGGCAGATACAACTCGAACTTTAAATTCTTCACTATTGACTGCAGAACGTTCTTCGGCAAATTCTTGAAGATCGCTACGTTCTCGATTAATCGTCGGCAAGCCTGAAGCGCGATCTCTTCGCGTAATGGTTCTGCGGAAAATTTAGATTAATAATGTCGAGATGTATTATTTCGATCGAAATTTTACATCTTGTTATACATATACATAATCAAGTCTGAATACGTCCTATTCACCTGTCAGTTCTGATAAAATCTGTTTACCGCGAAAATAAGTACTCTTGAAACGATAATGATAATAAGCTAAGAGACGTTTCTTCATATGTGGCAATAATTGCTTTTGTCTCGTATACGCTTTTACTTGATCTATTAGCTCTTGAAATTTTGCTTCGGATGCTTTTCTTTCAGCCTTGATACGAAGGAACATAACTGAAAGACAACAATGATATTTTTAAAGAAAACAATTTCTCACGGGCAATTTATTACATGTATAATGTCTCACCCAACATATAGCATACGACGAATCTGCCGATAATCATAAGAATACTATTAAAAATAATATGAACATTTTTCTCGCTCACGAATTTACCGTAACCACTTGCTAATATATTTTCCATCACGATAAATGCAGCATTTTTAAACCTTAATCTAAGAGTGCTGTCCTCTAATTTCATCATCCAACAATCCTCGCATTCCTTTTCATGTGTGTGTGATAATATTTTTATAATTACTAATTAATTAATTATATTACAATAACTATTAATTAAAAATAATGCTCAATGTGGGAACTCACATAATTCAATATTCTATATACATATTCTATATACTTACTGTCGGTGAAATATCGAGAAAATGTATCACTAAGAGTGGTGCCAAATAACACAAACAAGAAAACAAAAAAATTAAATATAATCCCAGCAATAGCGTAATACACATTTCAAGATAATAATCTTCTATTTCAAAATGCTGAAATACAAAAAAATATTTAATAATATATAGTCGTTGTGTATATTAAAAATATGAGAAAACATTACCGTAAATAGATAACGAATATTTGAATGAAGAGTATAGCAGCGTATTAATTTTATAACAGGTATCATATTAAGTAAGGCAACGATATAATGGGAATTATTTCCAGGAAGTCTTCGCCATGGTAGTGTTATATGATCATACGGAAATGACGATAACACATCCGGTATGAAAAATCCTTTCAGATAAGACCTACGAAAATTTGATTTTAATATTATACGTGAAAATGAATAAGAAACAACTAATCGAGAATTAATCTAAATGAAAATATTAATTAGAATATCTTACATAAATATTTTAGTAAATTTCAACTCGACAGACATATTTTTCTTATCATAGTATCCCGTAAAACAATTGAATATTATATCCAACCAACAAATTGTATAAATTGGAATGTTTACTCTGTCTAAACTAATTACTTCGTAGTCCATTATGACGAAACAAATCATAAGAGGGATCGAAAAGAAAGCGATCATATATATTGCCATCATGAATGTATCCCATAAAAACCTGTAAATCTTAGTATTGTCACATTGCAAAATAAAAGTAATATTTACACACATAACGCACATATATGCACAAGCATGCATACAAAATTCTCATTCACCCATTTTTTTATATTTAAATGCACCTGCCATAACTGAATGGATGTATTATCCACCAATATTTATGTGCGGCATGTCTTATTCTTTCAGTGGTAACCGCAGCCATACTATCCATGTAAACATTACATTTTGGAGTATATTTGCTGATACCAAACCATACTGTCCACACGTTTTTGAAAGTCAATGGTTTTATAGCCGCAAATGGAAATTTATTCTCTTGCAAAAACAGCTGACATGCGTGTACGCTCATAATCTAATGATACAAATTAAAATAATAAGTTTTTCACCATCAATAAAGTTTACAAATGACATAATAGGTTAAAATGCGATTACTCTAAAGCAGCAAAGCGAATTTCTATTGTTTTACAAAAACTTCAATACTTTTTTACATTAGCAACACAAGCACGCGTAATATGTGTGTAAGATTTAACTTTTGAATAATTTTAATTTTATTTAATTTTATTTTGACAACTGTCAAACTGTTAAACCTCTTAACAGCTGCTCGATGCTATGAATATACGCAAAGCGCGAATAGAGACAGCCAATCGGCATCATGGAAAAGCGGCAACAATTAAAGCGTCACACATGTCACTTGCCTTATTATGTAAAGCAAAATAAAATTAAGTATACAGTATTTAGTATAATTCAGATGCAGTTGACATTATTAGATTAATTCTAAATGAATTATTTTAATAATCGATAATCGACACGTATTTTACATATTTATGACACGTAGTACTTGTATTTATTAAAAATATATTCACATTAGAAAATATACAGGCATATAGGATAAATCTTATAATAATTTTACAATATAACCATCTACCGCATTGCTTAGAGCGGCTTGCCTATTTTAAGTCTATGAATTAATGTACATCTTTAAATACTGTGCACATTGCGATCCAATTCTCGAAAAGGATCGAATTTTAATGATATTGAATACATTTTATCTTGAACTTGTTTTCATGTGAAACTAATTATTGAACATTATTAAAACTTGTGCGTATATTGATCACAACGATCATGCTTACGTATTTTCTAATTGATGATATATAACGAGGCATACAATAAAAGAGAAGCATTCTATCTCACAATTAAAACATTTTAATTAATAAACAATGAATATTTGGAAGAATTAAATTATTTTAATATTATTCGTATGTTATTTAATTGCAAAGATTAAATGTATTAAATAATACTCTTTTTTAAATATTGACGTAACTAAATTACAAGAGAACAAGGATTTTCTTTAAGAAATGTAATAGTTGCAGTTAATTTAGAAAGTTGCAGAATTTGAGCTATCAGTCTTTCCTTATACATTCTTCCTTTTTCTTTCGTCTTTTTTCTTCTCTTTTCTCTCCTTCGGCGTTTTCTATTTTATTTTATAAACGTTTTAAAAAAATACAACTTGCGATATAACGATGTGTACACGTTTGCAATCTGCAATTATATGATCATCAAATCGTAAAATATCAAGATCGTCAAATTTCTTGAGGCAACATTACTTTACATTTACAGTTTACGGATATAAATATGGAAATATGTATATAACATTATGCTATTCAGGCCAGAATATTGTTCTATCATGTTTATATTCATATGTATAATTCGTGCAATACTGCACGATTCTGCTAGCCTAGAGATTCTCAAATACATTCTACAGTAGAAAGTATTTTGAACAAAAAGAAAGTTAAAATTATTATTTCATCCAATTCATGGATTAAAATATTTTACAATATTCAAAAACGCACCAATCAATAAAAAAAAACATTTTTTTAGATAAATAATAAATATTATATAGTAATTATAAATATAAATATTTTTATGTAAAAAGAATAATAATTTTCAATTGTTTTTGTTAAATTTGAAAATCTCTAAGTTGTGGAAGCCAATTTATACTTCGACTTCACATTCATATTAATACAACATTGATAATACTGCAATCTATAAATGCGCGATTATCTGTTTGATAATTCGCGTCTGAGCTCACATATGTTTGAGGTACTGGGATATTTCACTTTTTCTAGGATACGATATTGCAAGGGTCACCGCTGGAACACCCAAACAATCAATGATCTGATATTTATCGATCAAAAGGACAATTATGCCGTTCGTCATTTTTCATCTGACATAAAGCGAATGTTATACTCGCAAATTACACACACAACATACACGTGTCTGAAATCGGTACGATCGATCAACATTAATTATCAAAATGCATCGTAACTTCGGGAATAGATATCGGGTACAACATCGGGGAGAAGTGCAACAGGAACACATTCTCCAAGCATCTCTCGCAAACCTCCGACAAGGGGTCGGGCAACAATTATTAACAGTCAATGTCTTTATTACACAAGTATCAAACACATCAAGGAGACGTGGTCAGTTTTTTTTTATGTTTTTAAAATTTTTTACTCTCCACAAAAGGTAAGAATCTCACCGAGGAATCGTTTCTTGGATATATTCACAGGGCCTAGTGATCCTCTCTCGGGAAGTGACGCGTAGGAGATCGAGCATGCTACACGTCGATGCCGAGTAACTCCCGGCTGTCGGCCCTCGAAAGTCGGCGACGTAGACTGCGACGACGAAACTCCCTCCATCAGACGGATGCGCGTTTCACGCGAAGACCGGCGGAGATCGGAGGCGGTCGATAGCCCTGATATCCGGAAGGGTCTAACAACTCGGAATTCGTCGGACCGAGGCAGGTACAGGAGCACACGCTCACGCAATCGTCCGTATCGTGCATGATCGGCGTATGGCTGGCCAGAAGTTTACCGTTTACCGCCACGACCTCGCCGTCTAACGTTAAAACGTGGTGCGAAGCGGACACCATCTCGCTGTCGTCGCGACGCGCTTCACCGCTCTCTCTGCAACGACACGTTTGTCAGAAATAACGTAATGTTTTTCTATCAGAGAAGGTTGTATCAAATTATAAAAGAAACATATTTACGTCGTCATGAAGCGTAGCACGAGCAAGTTAATGCTGGCAGCGACCACAGCCAAGCCGAAGAGGATGAAGACCAGACTCAAGATCACGTATCCAGGATTTTTGGAAAGCGCTTGATCATTCTGCAAAGAATAATTTAATCATCTCCGTTTCTTTCGCGCCATTAATAAGAAGGACGTCGTTTACCTGAAGAGCGACGTAGTCGCCAAAGCCTATGGTGGTGAGCGTCACGAAACAGTAATAAAAACTGTCGAAGTAACTCCAGCCCTCGTATCGCGAAAACACCGCGGCGCCCGTCGTGATAATTATACTGGAAAGCAGGCCGGTCGCCAGCATAAGATTCATCTCCGTTGCTTCGGTCTTTTGGCATCTAAGATACGTCTTCGCTCGCCTGATCACGACCGATGCAAACTTGTTCAATCGCTCACCAATGCTCTGGAACATCACCAGGCCCAATGGGATTCCCACCATTGCGTACACCATACAAAATGCCTTTCCGGGTTTAGTTACCGGAGTGGAATGTCCATAACCTTGCAGAAAATCATACGTATATCAATCAATTAAATTTATTTTTCGAAATATAATTTTAACTTCAATTTATGTGTTTTTAGGCATTTTTAAATTTTATTATACAAAACACTACTCACCAATCATGGCTAATACTAAAGTGGCAAAATAGAAAGCACCCGCAAACTTCCACTGCGGTCCAGCTTTGTGCGGTTTATTCTCTATTATCACGATCTCGACCATCTTGTAATCCTCCAGCGTAATGTTATATTTTCGCATCATATTACGACGTATCTCTGCAGTAAGTAGGGAAGACGGGGAGACATTTTCCGCCGTGCGGAAATAATTAAATATCAATTATCGATCGGTCAATAAAAATATCTGTCGATGCAAACAGAGAAAGAGAGAGAGAAAGGGGTGTATGGGACTTACCTGAGAGAAATTCCCAGCGTTTCTTCTCAGTGTCTGATTCAAGGGCATCAAACACCGCGGCGCCAACCAGAAGATACGTAAACGTGCACACCACCAGCGACAGTGTTCTGACATTCTGTCTCTTCATCTTCGCCGTTTTGTCACCCGCGAGAATATCGCGCGCACACGTACGGCGCGCTACAGAATAAAAAAATCAACGGTCGCGGGTTCAACGAGTTCCTCGAGATTTCCCGCGACGCGCCACATTTATACGGGAGCGCATCCCGTCCACACGGCACGCGAATGAATTTTTATCTCGCACCGGACAAATGGACGTCCATGCAAAAGGTTTATCAGGCATATCAAGTGGAAGCGCACGTCTGAGAGATTAGAATGCCACGAGAGTTGGCATAATACTCGCGAGACAACAAGCGCTGCACGCTCTTACGCCCGAGTATTGATCGCGAGAACCGGATAGTAGAGGGAGAAACCGAAGGGATGCGCCCTAGTTGATTTCTTTGTAGGGTAGGTAGGTAGGTAGGTAGGTAAAGAGATGCTCTCTCGAGCACCACATGGTAACTTCGTCGATGAAATAGTCGAATGATAATCGTAGCGATCGAACAATCGAGTAGTAATCGCGCTTCGATATCGCGATTACTTGTCAGTAGTACGATACGTTTTTGTCGCGACAGTGGTTGCGTCGATCGTGCACAGACGGCCTGTTCGTGTAAAGTATTAAACTCCTTTGCGAACATGAATCTATTGTTGATAACTCGATCGACATATCTTCAGATTTACTAATTTATTTTTATCTTTTAAATAATTTAGTTATTGTTTAATATGAGGGATTCATATAAATTCTAAGTAAAAATGAAAATATTCTCCTGAAATACTAAAGAAATTTTTTATATTTATGATATGACATTATATACTTTCTGCTGCTATTGGGGAAATGCTGGTAAAGCTATATACTATATGCAATATAATTTTTTCAACAAAATCTTGAATTTAATTAATTAAACATATTTTAAAATGTTTTTAAATAATTGGCAAAAAGATATGCTGTAGTATGTTATAATATATTGTAATATTCAGATTATAACCGAGTGATAATCGCAGCGACCGAATAAGCGAGTAGTAACCGCGCTCCTATAGCGCGACCTGTCAGTAGTACGACTCGTTTTTATCGCGACAGTAGTAGCGCCAGTCATGCACGTTCGCGCGAAGTATTAAATCTCTTTTGCGAACGCAAATCTATTATTGATAACTCAGCCGACAGGTTTATCTTCAGATTTATTAATTTATTTTTTATGTTTTAAATAATTTAATTATTATTTAATATGAAGGATTTATATAAATTCTAAGTAAAAATGGAAATATTCTCCTGAAATACTAAAGAAATTTTTTCTATTTATGATATGACATTATATACTTTCTGCTGCTATTGGGGAAATGCTAGTAAAGCTATATACTATATGCAATATAATTTTTTCAACAAAATCTTGAATTTAATTAATTAAACATATTTTAAAATGTTTTTAGATAATTGGCAAAAAGATATGCTGTAGTATGTTATAATATATTGTAATATTCAGATTATAACCAAGTGATAATCGCAGCGACCGAATAAGCGAGTAGTAACCGCGCTCCTATAGCGCGACCTGTCAGTAGTACGACTCGTTTTTATCGCGACAGTAGTAGCGCCAGTCATGCACGTTCGCGCGAAGTATTAAATCTCTTTTGCGAACGCAAATCTATTGTTGATAACTCAGCCGACAGGTTTATCTTCAGATTTACTAATTTATTTTTTATTTTTTAAATAATTTAATTATTATTTAATATAAGGATTTATATAAATTCTAAGTAAAAATGAAAATATTCTCCTGAAATACTAAAGAAATTTTTTCTATTTATGATATGACATTATATACTTTCTGCTGCTATTGGGGAAATGCTGGTAAAGCTATATACTATATGCAATATAATTTTTTCAACAAAATCTTGAATTTAATTAATTAAACATATTTTAAAATGTTTTTAGATAATTGGCAAAAAGATATGCTGTAGTATGTTATAATATATTGTAATATTCAGATTATAACCGAGTGATAATCGCAGCGACCGAATAAGCGAGTAGTAATCGCGCTTCTATAGCGCGACCTGTCAGTAGTACGACTCGTTTTTATCGCGACAGTAGTAGCGCCAGTCATGCACGTTCGCGCAAAGTATTAAATCTCTTTTGCGAACGCAAATCTATTGTTGATAACTCAGCCGACTTTATTTTCAGATTTACTAATTTATTTTTTATCTTTTAAATAATTTAGTTATTGTTTAATATGAGGGATTCATATAAATTCTAAGTAAAAATGAAAATATTCTCCTGAAATACTAAAGAAATTTTTTATATTTATGATATGACATTATATACTTTCTGCTGCTATTGGGGAAATGCTGGTAAAGCTATATACTATATGCAATATAATTTTTTCAACAAAATCTTGAATTTAATTAATTAAACATATTTTAAAATGTTTTTAAATAATTGGCAAAAAGATATGCTGTAGTATGTTATAATATATTGTAATATTCAGATTATAACCGAGTGATAATCGCAGCGACCGAATAAGCGAGTAGTAATCGCGCTCCTATAGCGCGACCTGTCAGTAGTACGACTCGTTTTTATCGCGACAGTAGTAGCGCCAGTCATGCACGTTCGCGCAAAGTATTAAATCTCTTTTGCTAACGCAAATCTATTATTGATAACTCAGCCGACAGGTTTATCTTCAGATTTACTAATTTATTTTTTATCTTTTTAATAATTTAGTTATTATTTATTATGAGGATTTATATAAATTCTAAGTAAAAATGGAAATATTCTCCTGAAATACTAAAGAAATTTTTTCTATTTATGATATGACATTATATACTTTCTGCTGCTATTGGGGAAATGCTGGTAAAGCTATATACTATATGCAATATAAATTTTTCAACAAAATCTTGAATTTAATTAATTAAACATATTTTAAAATGTTTTTAGATAATTGGCAAAAAGATATGCTGTAGTATGTTATAATATATTGTAATATTCAGATTATAACCAAGTGATAATCGCAGCGACCGAATAAGCGAGTAGTAACCGCGCTCCTATAGCGCGACCTGTCAGTAGTACGACTCGTTTTTATCGCGACAGTAGTAGCGCCAGTCATGCACGTTCGCGCGAAGTATTAAATCTCTTTTGCGAACGCAAATCTATTGTTGATAACTCAGCCGACAGGTTTATCTTCAGATTTACTAATTTATTTTTATATTTTTAAATAATTTATTATTATTTAATATAAGGATTTATATAAATTCTAAGTAAAAATGGAAATATTCTCCTGAAATACTAAAGAAATTTTTTCTATTTATGATATGACATTATATACTTTCTGCTGCTATTGGGGAAATGCTGGTAAAGCTATATACTATATGCAATATAATTTTTTCAACAAAATCTTGAATTTAATTAATTAAACATATTTTAAAATGTTTTTAAATAATTGGCAAAAAGATATGCTGTAGTATGTTATAATATATTGTAATATTCAGATTATAATCGAGTGATAATCGCAGCGACCGAATAAGCGAGTAGTAACCGCGCTTCTATAGCGCGACCTGTCAGTAGTACGACTCGTTTTTATCGCGACAGTAGTAGCGCCAGTCATGCACGTTCGCGCGAAGTATTAAATCTCTTTTGCTAACGCAAATCTATTATTGATAACTCAGCCGACAGGTTTATCTTCAGATTTACTAATTTATTTTTTATGTTTTAAATAATTTAATTATTATTTAATATGAAGGATTTATATAAATTCTAAGTAAAAATGGAAATATTCTCCTAAAATACTAAAGAAATTTTTTCTATTTATGATATGACATATACTTTCTGCTGCTATTGGGGAAATGCTGGTAAAGCTATATACTATATGCAATATAAATTTTTCAACAAAATCTTGAATTTAATTAATTAAACATATTTTAAAATGTTTTTAGATAATTGGCAAAAAGATATGCTGTAGTATGTTATAATATATTGTAATATTCAGATTATAATCGAGTGATAATCGCAGCGACCGAATAAGCGAGTAGTAACCGCGCTCCTATAGCGCTACCTGTTAGTAGTACGAATCATTTTTATCGCGACAATAGTAGCGCCGGTTATACACGGACCGCTTATTCGGGCGAAGTATTAAACCTCCTTTGGGAACGCAAATCTATTGTTAATAACTCGGTCAGCAATCTGCAGACTCATTTACAAATTTAATATATTGTTTATCTTCTAAATTATTAAGTTATTCTTTAGCACAAGGATGTTTAAATTCAAAATAATAGAAGTTCTTCAGGAATACTAAAGAAATATTTTTTTATCTTTGATAAGGCACTATATGTATATACTTTCTATTGCTATTGGAAAAATGTTGGTAAAGCTACGCAAGATATAATTTCTTTTAACTTAAATCTTAAATTTAATTAATTATTTCTGCCAATTATCTCCAAACATTTTAAAAATATTTTAAAATGTTTGGAGATAATTGGCAAAAATATGTTATCGTATATATTATATAAGATAAAAAACTGCACAACTGATAATATTAGTATCCCATATTTACATTTTTTAAATAGTTTTTCGTTTCTAAAATTTTTCACATTTAGTGTTTACATTTTTCGCTTTTCCACATTTAACGGTACATTTCGGTGCTTAACATTTTAATGCTTTACAAACTCTATAAGAAGAAATACAATAGAAATGTTGAACTTTTTACTTTTACTGACAAGTGGTTTTCTCAGAAATCATGTACACAATAAACATTTTCTGCGCCCGCTCAAAATATAATAGCCAAAAATACGCGCAAAAATGTCGTAACAACAAATTGTTGTAAATCTACAGGCATTATTTCTATAATTTATTGTCAATTTGGCTTCTCCCTGTCTGCTTTCAGAAATAATATTATATATATATTGTGAGATATCACCTCCTCGAAAATTGTCGCAAAGTCGGATAACCATAAAACTTGGAAAGAAAAGAAATGAGCATCTTCACGTATAAAGCATGTCAACGAGAAAGAAAGGTATTTTATTACACACATTTACACACAAAAATTTTTAAAAATATTTTACTTCTCGAAACATTTTTTTTTGTTTGATGATAAAAATATTCTCACCGAAAATATTAATTAGTTCGAAGTAGAATAAACATTTTTTCTAATAATAAAAATAATTTATAAATTCAATGTATTAATTGATTAGTATAAATTTAATGAAAGGAAGAGAGTTTATGTAATTTTTCAATCATTTGTTAATTGCAAACTTTTGAATGTTAAACTTATACAACACTCATTTAGAAATTTGTCTTTATTGGTAACGGGAGAAGATTCTCCAATATACTTCATTTCTTAA